AGCATATTTCGCTCAAAGAGGTAAAACCATAAAACTCTGAATATTCTATCTGACAAATCATGACAAATCACCTTGTGCTGTTGCTTTTAGTGCACATAAAATCTGATCCAGGAATCAAATCTACGCTTAAAAGCATAATAGAAGGCAGATTATTATTGCACATGCAAAAAGTTTAACCCACTAAAAAGACCAAAAAGAAAAGTATGATTATAAGGTTTTTCCCTAAGAAAAACCTTCAGTATAATGGAAAAATGTTTATATTTGTTCCATCAATATAAATGAAACGGATCTCATTAGTATTGTGAAGCATGAGAGCAAATCTGTTCAAATGTCCTTCGACCAAACCCTCAAAATAAACACGCGTGATACACTGTAAAACTGGATTGGTGGCTTTTCTTCAGCGTCTGCATATTTTTAATGGTAGATAATTAATAGAAATATAAACAGACTCATAGTGTGGAACTTCCCTTTCCGACTCTTACATCACATGTGACATTTCTCAGTGTCTTCCTCATCTGACCAGAAGAACCGCCACATCCTATCCTGTTCCACAGCTCCACAGTTCAGCAAATAAAACATCATCATTCACCCTCATGTCTTTCTCAACTCGTATGACTATTTCTTCTGTGCATGAAAAAAAAAAAAAAAGGCAGATTAGTCATGCTTTATTTCAATACAATGAAAGCATGTAATGACCAGGTGTAAAAGACATCCATAAATGCATGAAAAAGAAATACGGGTTTGGTGCGACATGAGGGAAAGTGAATGACAACTTTAGTGCATAGATGAACATTGGTGAAACTCAAATTAGAATATCGTGCAAAAATTAATTTCAGTAATTCAACTTAAAAGGTGAAACTAATATATTATATAGACTCATTACATGCAAAGTGAGATATTTCAAGCCTTTATTTGTTATAATTGTGATGATTATGGCTTACAGCTTATGAAAACCCCAAATGAAAAGGTTTTCATAAGCTGTAAGCCATAATCATCACAATTATAACAAATAAAGGCTTGAAATATCTCACTTTGCATGTAATGAGTCTATAGAATATATTAGTTTCACCTTTTAAGTTGAATAACTGAAATAAATGAACTTTTGCACGATATTCTAATTTTTCGAGTTTCACCTGTATAATGTCACAATAAGATTATGTGTTGTTAAACTGCTTGAAAAACACACCTGACACCGTCCGTCTTCACACACTCACACCTGATGCGTGTAGGATTCTTAAAAATCACTTCCTTCAACAACAAAAAAAAGTCCCGTTTCAGAGTGAATCTCGCAAAACCGGTCAAAAACCAGTTCAGCTCATAATTAACACCGCAAAATCAGAAGGAAAAAAACAGAATAAAGCCTATTTTTAAGACTATTGTGTTTTTTTGCAGTGTACAAAATATAAATAATAAATTATTAAATTGTACAGTATGATTGCATGTATGCATCATGATAGTATTTGTTGCATTGCAATAAATTCAATGAGTTATTATGTGTGTGTGTGTGTGTGTGCGTGTGTATGTGTGTGTGTGTGTGTGTGTGTGTGTGTGTGCGTAAGTGTGTGTGTAAATGTGTAAGTGTGTATGTGTGTGTAAGTGTGCGTGTGTGTAAGTGTGTGTGTGTGTGTGTGTGTGTGTAAGTGTGTGTGTGTGTAAATATATATATATATATATATATATATATATATTTGGGGTAAACTTCACGAGATTCACTTACACAAGGACTGTCAATTTCAAAAACCCAAACTAGCCATATTTCACTATTTTAACAGTGTCCTCCGTAAACACGGTTGTTGTTGTTGTTGTGTCATTTAACAAACACCATCAATGCTCTTAAATGTTCCCACACAACGCCTATTCCTCAGATTGATCACACAGGCACTGGTGGTTCACGGATGGCTGTGGTGGTTTGATATCACAGATTCACCAATAACCAACATGACAGCAGGAATATCAGGGGGAAAACAAGCTGAGATATTAACTGGCAAATAAGTTATTGGCACCAATTAAAGCTGCACGATTTTGGATAAACGGAGTCTGAGAATCACTTTTTTTGGTCAAATAAACAAAACAACAAGTCATTTACTAAAGGTTCTGACAAAATGTTAATGGCTGCAATCTAGCCTATTTAAAATAAAAATTAATTAATTTGAATTATTATTTTTTTAAATCGGTTTGAGTGAATGATTCAATGACTTACGAGACAACGAGTCGAATCGTTGTCATTTAGGAATAAGATCACGCGAGTGTTTGAATCGAGATCGTGATCTTTTAACTATTAATCGTGCAGCTCTAGCACCAATAATGCGTTTTTTTTGTTGTTGTTGTTGTTTTTTACAATAATCAGAATAAGGACTTTATCACAGTAAGAGGTTTACAAGACACGAGCAAACCTCTTCACTCCCGTTTACATTCAGTTTTATTATTATTCTGGTTACATGCTAAGAGGTGTGGTTATTTGTACCGCCATTCCTCATATCACCCAATGCATTGCACAAAAGATGAACTCGCATACAGTAGGTGTGTGTTACTGGCCACTGTTTTAATCCACTTATGTCAAATGTAAAACATTTCTATGGACATATTGGATATTATTCTGCGGCCGTGATGAACACACCGTAACAGACTTAAAGTTTACTTTAAAGTTGTGTTTAAAACACGTCATCTATATGTCTGAAAACATGCACACTTCTGTTAGAGCGGTAATAATGTGATTAAGGTGTTTACATGCCTGTTTATTGCGCTTAAAATCTAAGTACGCCACATAGTATGATGTGATTATGGTTACTACGATTATGAGCTTAATCTCGTTAGTTTGATCAAAGTATTGCGTTTACATGTTTATCGCAATATTGCCAAAATCCCATTATAATCGCATTATGAGTGTGCATGTAAACGAACGTAGTCATTGAGGATGTTCAGTTTTATGATTCCTCGGTCGTATTTCACACAAAATATTAATATTGCATCATAGTATTATGTCAATACAGTGAAAAATATTGTATTAATAATAATAAAATATTTAAAAAAACAAAAATATTAAAAACAAATTTGGGGCTGTCAAATCGATTAATCGCATCTAACAAAAGTTTTTGTCTATATAATGTGTGTGTGTGTGTGTGTGTGTGTGTGTGTGAGTGAGAAAGAGAGAGAGAGAGTGTGTGTGTGTGTATATATATGTGAGAGTGTGTGTATATGTGTGTGTATGTGTATATATATATATATATATATATATATATATATATATATACAGTCATACATGTATGTATGTGTATATATGTGTGTATATATGTATATATATATATATGTATGTGTGTGTATGTATATATACACTCACCGGCCACTTTATTAGGTACACCTGTCCAACTGCTCGTTAACACTTAATTTCTAAGCAGCCAATCACATGGCGGCAACTCAGTGCATTTAGGCATGTAGACATGGTCAAGACAATCTCCTGCAGTTCAAACCGAGCATCAGTATGGGGAAGAAAGTTGATTTGAGTGACTTTGAACGTGGCATGATTGTTGGTGCCAGAAGGGCTGGTCTGAGTATTTCAGAAACTGCTAATCTACTGGGATTTTCACGCACAACCATCTCTAGGGTTTACAGAGAATGGTCCGAAAAAGAAAAAACATCCAGTGAGCGGCAGTTCTGTGGGCGGAAATGCCTTGTTGATGCCAGAGGTCAGAGGAGAATGGCCAGACTGGTTCGAGCTGATAGAAGGGCAACAGTGACTGAAATAACCACTCGTTACAACCGAGGTATGCAGCAAAGCATTTGTGAAGCCACAACACGCACAACCTTGAGGCGGATGGGCTACAACAGCAGAAGACTCCACCGGGTACCACTCATCTCCACTACAAATAGGAAAAAGAGGCTACAATTTGCAAGAGCTCACCAAAATTGAACAGTTGAAGACTGGAAAAATGTTGCCTGGTCTGATGAGTCTCGATTTCTGTTGAGACATTCAGATGTTAGAGTCAGAATTTGGCGTAAACAGAATGAGAACATGGAACCATCATGCCTTGTTACCACTGTGCAGGCTGGTGGTGGTGGTGTAATGGTGTGGGGGATGTTTTCCTGGCACACTTTAGGCCCCTTAGTGCCAATTGGGCATCGTTTAAATGCCACGGCCTACCTGAGCATTGTTTCTGACCATGTCCATCCCTTTATGGCCACCATGTACCCATCCTCTGATGGCTACTTCCACCATGTCACAAAGCTCTAATCATTTCAAATTGGTTTCTTGAACATGACAATGAGTTCACTGTACTAAAATGGCCCCCACAGTCACCAGATCTCAACCCAATAGAGCATCTTTGGGATGTGGTGGAACGGGAGATTCGCATCATGGATGTGCAGCCGACAAATCTGCGGCAACTGTGTGATGCCATCATGTCAATATGGACCAAACTCCCTGAGGAATGCTTCCAGCACCTTGTTGAATCTATGCCACGAAGAATTGAGGCAGTTCTGAAGGCAAAAGGGGGTCCAACCCGTTACTAGCATGGGGTACCTAATAAAGTGGCCGGTGAGTGTATATATATATATATATATATATATACACACATGCATATATTATATAGACAAAAACTTAAGATGCGATTAATCGAGTTGCCAGCACTATAAATAATATTACTAACAATAATAATAATAATAATAATAATTCAAAAGGATTTGGACAGAAAATGTGAAAGTAAAAAAAGGTAACGTTTCTTTAAAAAAGCCAATACTTGTGTGTGTGTTTATTACATTTTATTAATAGATCCTTTTTTTTTCTATTTGTTTTTGTAGTGAAATATGACCCAGATATAACGAGAATAGATAGGGTAAGTAGACACAGACACTCCTAAAGCATCTCAACATCTCGTATTCCTCTCTCTTCTTACAGCAAACTTTAAATAGAAAAACTGAACATATTTCAGTACCAAATTACAAAGATATCAAAGGCTCAGCACTCACTGAACAGTCTGCGTTCACTCGACGGCTCGTGAAGTCACACAAAAACACACGCGTGACGTGCCGAGCCAAAACTCCCTTTGAAATGCAGCGTAATCCCTTTCTGTACCTTTTGACCATACAAAATACAAACCCACAGTTTTGCAGCAAACAATAAAGACGAGTTATACCACGAAAATGTGGCATCTGTACACATCCGAACGGCTAGACCTTCTGAACAGGCGTCGGCGTCGCCCGTTTGCTGCTCTTCTTCATGCGACTGCGAGCGTAAACGCGGAGGAAAAGCGCGAGGAAGACGACAGCCATGCCGAAGCCGCCAACTATAGTGACGGCGTGACCGTAAAGAAAGCAAGACAGGAGGATCGCGAAAGCCTGTCGCAGAGTCATGATGATGGTGAAGATGGCGGCGCCGAATTGCGCAATGGTGTAGAAAATAAAAAGCTGGCCACACGCGGAGCACACGGAGAGCAAGACGGCGTGGAAAGCGAACTCGGAGTGACGCGACATGAACGCGAGCGAGTCGAAGAAGGCGCCCTGTTCCAGCAGAGAGCCGACCGTGAAGAGGCAGGAGAACAGATTCACGCCGAACATCATCTGCACCGACGACATCTTGTGTTTGAAGAGGTTGTCCTGCCAGTTGGAGGTGAAGCTGTCGAACACGATGTATCCTGCGAGGATGATGACGCCGGAGAAGGTGGTGACGGTGGACAGGTGTTTGCCGGTGGAGCTGGAGAGCAGGAACATGCTAACGCCCACTGAGATCAGCGCCGCCGTGAAGTATTCCCAGTACTCGTAGCTCTTGTGCGAGACGATCTTGCCCATCAGCATCACAGGAATCACCTTAGAGGCCTTGGCCAACACCTGTGATGAAAACAACATGACGGATGACAAACAGAAGCACATTTGACAGTCAATCACACTCCTGAATACCTCCATTTCAAAGTTGAAAAAAGTCACCAGACACTAGCTTATGTTTCCATCCACACGTTTTTTATCCGAATTAAGTGATATCGAATGAAAAATGCCTTATGGAAACAGTAAAATTCGATTGAATTTCATGAATATCGACTCAAATGAAATGCGTTCGGTTTTATCTTGATCGATATCCGGCTTATGCGATAAACGCTGATGGAAACGTTATTTGACGAATAAATAATGAATTGCGATTAAGTTTTAGGTCATTTTATGGTTGCAACACGCCACAAAACATAGAAGTTTTAGTTCATTTCCGCCCAGTATTTCCGCTCTGTTTGTGCACACATGGCGGGTGTCAACAAAGACAGATGTAAGTGGACAAAGCAAAAAAATGCTTCAACCAAAGGGTTTCCGTGAGGGGTCTCTGAACCGCGATCTCCCAGAACTGTTTGGAGCGCTGTCGTTCCCACACCACCGGCCGCCTCCGTTGTCGCCGGGCGTTTACGTGCATCTGCATCATCATAGCAATGTGTTGATAGCGTCGTTGTTTTCTTATTACGTGGCTTGGTTGAACTCTAATGTAGAATGCGATATGTTATTTCTTGATAACAGACCGTTGCTAAGTATAACACACCGTTGCCATGAAAAACAGAGCGTTGCCATGGACGCAGTTCAGAGACGGAACGGACTATTTTCTTTAGCGGAAGCAATACAACCGTTTTTAAATCAATAAACTCCTTTTTAAATCAATATTTTGTGTCAAATTATTGATTTATTTGGTAGGTAGCCATGTAATAAGCGGGATAATGTATATCGCTATACATTATCCCTTACATATGTCGCTATCAGCTGGCACATAAGCACTATTAGGCTACACCTTGTGTAATATTAATCATTTGTTGGTAGATGGCGCGATCCATTTAGTCTAGCAAAACTTTGTTCGCAAATGTTTGCTTGAATGTTGTGCGATTCAGTGCAAAAATGAATGGAAACACCTTAAAATGTCACAAAGCAATTCGATATACCAATTTGATCGCAAAAAAGCATGTGACGTCATTACGCACAGGTTTTTATTCGCTTTAAAGCCGTTGGATGGAAACACACTTTCACCAGCTTTATTCGCTAAAAAATTTGAGTTTTTTTTTACCGAACTTCAGATAATTCGATTGACAAGTGGATGGAAACTTGTCTAGTGAGAAACAGTACACCTCTTAAGGCCCTTGCACACGGAGTCCGAAATTTTCGTATGCGTTTTTTCATATATTCGTGATTCGGTGGCTCTGAATTGTCAAAACACCTTTCAAACTGCTTGCTACGGATGCGAAAAACGCAGAAAATCGAACCCGATCCGATTTTTTTTTATGACGGACGAAAGTTTCGGAGGCAGTGTGCAAGCGTGACTGACATAACGTGAGGTCGTATTTATTTTTTAACGTGTGAAAATTTCTGACTCAAGAAGGGCCTTAAAGGAATACTTTTTCTTTTCCTCTTGATTTTAGACTGACCACATGTTCATATACAGCTCATTTCCCCAGAATGCAGTGCTGTACCTGTGTGGGAAAGCTGATGTATTTGAGCGCCTCGTACTGGCACCAGCTGCTGAGGATGTTGGAAAGCGAAGCGAAGGAGTACTTGTACATGGGCACCCCGTGGCGGGGCTGTTTGAACAGGACACACCACAGGCCAGACACCGTCAAGGCCAGGATTCGGTTCATGAACACTAGAAACTGGGAATCTTTGAAGCGCTCGCCGCTGCCTTCAGCCTCTGTGGCGCCATATGAGCGCGTCATCACTCGCTCCTGAAGAACGCCCCACGTCAGGTATGACGCCTGGATGATGCACAAAAAATATTTTTGTGAACATGAAGACTATTAAAGGTGCATTGTGTAATATTTAGGAGGATCTGCTGACAGAAATGCATTATCATATACACTCACCGGCCACTTTATTAGGTACACCTGTCCAACTGCTCGTTAACACTTAATTTCTAAGCAGCCAATCACATGGCGGCAACTCAGTGCATTTAGGCATGTAGACATGGTCAAGACAATCTCCTGCAGTTCAAACCGAGCATCAGTATGGGGAAGAAAGTTGATTTGAGTGACTTTGAACGTGGCATGATTGTTGGTGCCAGAAGGGCTGGTCTGAGTATTTCAGAAACTGCTAATCTACTGGGATTTTCACGCACAACCATCTCCAGTGTTTACAGAGAATGGTCCGAAAAAGAAAAAACATCCAGTGAGCGGCAGTTCTGTGGGCGGAAATGCCTTGTTGATGCCAGAGGTCAGAGGAGAATTGCCAGACTGGTTCGAGCTGATAGAAGGGCAACAGTGACTGAAATAACCACTCATTACAACCGAGGTATGCAGCAAAGCATTTGTGAAGCCACAACACGCACAACCTTGAGGCGGATGGGCTACAACAGCAGAAGACTCCACCGGGTACCACTCATCTCCACTACAAATAGGAAAAAGAGGCTACAATTTGCAAGAGCTCACCAAAATTGAACAGTTGAAGACTGGAAAAATGTTGCCTGGTCTGATGAGTCTCGATTTCTGTTGAGACATTCAGATGTTAGAGTCAGAATTTGGCGTAAACAGAATGAGAACATGGAACCATCATGCCTTGTTACCACTGTGCAGGCTGGTGGTGGTGGTGTAATGGTGTGGGGGATGTTTTCCTGGCACACTTTAGGCCCCTTAGTGCCAATTGGGCATCGTTTAAATGCCACGGCCTACCTGAGCATTGTTTCTGACCATGTCCATCCCTTTATGGCCACCATGTACCCATCCTCTGATGGCTACTTCCACCATGTCACAAAGCTCTAATCATTTCAAATTGGTTTCTTGAACATGACAATGAGTTCACTGTACTAAAATGGCCTCCACAGTCATCAGATCTCAACCCAATAGAGCATCTTTGGGATGTGGTGGAACGGGAGATTCGCATCATGGATGTGCAGCCGACAAATCTGCGGCAACTGTGTGATGCCATCATGTCAATATGGACCAAACTCCCTGAGGAATGCTTCCAGCACCTTGTTGAATCTATGCCACGAAGAATTGAGGCAGTTCTGAAGGCAAAAGGGGGTCCAACCCGTTACTAGCATGGGGTACCTAATAAAGTGGCCGGTGAGTGTATATAACTATGTTTTCAGTGGTGTATAAAGACCTCACTTAATGAACCAGTATGTTTTTATTACCTTAGAATGAGCCATTTCTCTCTACACACACCACGGGTCCGCTTACATCGACATGTTTCTACAGTGGCCCTGAACGGACAAACGCGTTTCATCACTATGTTGTTCTTCGTAAAAGAAGCTAGCTAAAGTCAGCGAATAAAACACTGAGAGAATGATGAACAAGTAACAATAATATTCGCAATAACATATCGGTTTACTGAATAATTAAGTAAACCTAATTTCTTTATTTATCTTTGTAAAGAAATCTCATTGCTGGGTAACTGTAGCCTGGGAAAACCCAGACAACTTCCGGCAAATTTAGATTTGCTCTGAAAGTTAGTCTGGCAAAGAGCTCATTCAAGCTCATTTCCAATCCGTCGAAATCGAGGCACCAATCAGAAACGTTGGGGCGGGCTTTACACGATGACGACAGCGCTGGGATTTTGAAGCAGATTTTGTAGCCTACATTACAAAGATGGATGCCGCCGTCGAACATCACTCGTTCGAATCAGCTATCGCGTCTGTTTTAAGCGATTTGAACGTTTCCTTTTTGTTAAAAACCGAGCAAAGAACAACACTCGGAGATGTTTCTCCGCCGCTCTGCATACGTCATCTCCTTCATCGCTCTGATTGGGTTTAGGTCTATCCGCGACGTTCGTTGGTGACGAGTCACGACCCTCTGGAAATGATTTGTCTATGATGCTTTGCCAGACCATAACTAAGTTACAACTGAGAATGGTCTGGTTTTAACCAGGTTAGGCTAACTGGCTACTCTCTGCTGTCTCAGACGACGACATCATTTCCTGTCAGCCACCGTAACTTCTATTGGGTGCAATTCGCAAACTCACCACTAGATGCCGCTATAAATCACACACTGCACCTTTAACTTGCACTAGGGGTTGCATAGACTAGTTGACTTTAATGCTCTGCCATGACGCTTTAAAGGCCCCCTGAAATCAAAATGTAAGTCTTTTAGCTTTTAGTATGAATATGTTAGCCTTAAGGTTATGAATAAGCTGGTCTGCTCCAAAACAATGACAATTCGCATTTAGGAGATACAAGCATTCAAAACTTAGTCTCTCACTTCTGCTAAAATGCATCACGAATTTTTACAACATCACCGTGGACTTCAGTTTCTCATCAGATTTTCTGTCCAATCAAATGCTCTCTAGAATCTAAAAGCTATAAACACCACCAGGCCAAAGCGACTGTTGACACGTCGCGGAGCAATATGTGTTGGAGATGTGTGTTCGGTTACAGTTTTATTCCGTTTTCCAACTGTACGTTGGTTAAGAATGAAATGGCTAGAATTTATTCACCTCTACTATTGAATCAAACGTATCATCAGCGCTCAGATTCGCTTCCATGTTGCGGTCAAGTACGACTTGCGGTCTGTGAGGGAAACTAAACGCTATTGGCTATTTGAAAAGGGGGAGGAGCCATTCAATATGTCCCGCCTCCGCTTCCTGTTTCAATGTTGTGTGGAAAATCAGTGAAAATTACGTCAATGCATCATACAAAGCACTTCAGTGGGGCTTTAAAGGGATAGTTCACTTTGAAATTAATTTTTGGTATGTTTTAGCTTACCTCAAGGGCATCCAAGATGTAGGTGTCTTTGTTTCCGCAGTAGTTTCAATTTTGATATTTTTAGGTCAAACCGTTCTTGTCTGTCAGTCATATAATGCAGGTCTATGGTCACCACCTCAAAGAGCATGCACAGAGAAGTCCAAATTAAACATGATTTAATGACTTGTAAATGTAAGTACTCATTGATGGCCTAAGACACGAAACGAGCGGTTTGTGTGAGAAAACGAACAGTATTTATATCGTTTTTACCTCTTGTAAACACAGCCACGTCCAAGTGATCTGAGGGCGCGGGCGCTTCGGTCTGTGCAAGAGCCGGAAAGCGCCGGAAGTGATCTCTCTGAAAAAAATTCAACGTTGTCTGTTGATATATCGAAATCGTCTTTCATTGCGATTTCCTGTATATCTAAATATGTTTAGATCTTCACAGTGAAAGGTAACACTTCCGAAATCTCTGTGTTAACAATGAGTGACGTACAGCGAGAGATCACTTCCGGCGCTTGCACAGACCGAAGCGCCTGCGCCCTCAGATCACTTGGACGTGGCTGTGGTTACAAGAGGTAAAAACGATATAAATACTGTTCGTTTTCTCACACAAACCGCTCGTTTCGTGTCTTAGGCCATCAATGTGTACTTACATTTACGAGTCATTAAATCATGTTTAATTTGGACTTCCCTGTGCATGTTCTTAGAGGTGGTGACCATAGACCTGCATTATATGACTGACAGACAAGAACGGTTTGAGCTAAAATAACAAAATTGAAACTACTGCGGAAACAAAGACACCTACATCTTGGATGCCCTTGAGGTAAGCTAAAACATACCAAAAATTTATTTCAAAGTGAACTATACCTTTAAGCTTGACGTCAACAATTTTACCCTCTGTTTCCAACAGTTAAAATGATAAATACATGCATACTCCGAGAGCGCTCCACAATATATGTTTGATTTTACCATCAGGATGCTCAAATTGATTAAAGGTGAATGCACGCTTTAAACAGCTTAATGTACAGGTAAGTTAATCACTGTTCTAAACTAATGCGCTGCTGCATTGTAACACACACACACACACACACACACACACACACACACACACACACACACACACACACACACACACACACACACACAGATAGTAGCACGTGCATCAAACGCAGATCATTCAGTAGTGCAGAAATGTATTGTCAACACTGTTCTGTGATTTATCAATAAAATAGCTTAGAAACTGAAAAGTTCTAGCATATACTTCGTAACTAAAACCCACAGCTTTACTATTAGTAGATAGAAGGTAGTTGCCAGGTAGAAATAATTCACACGCAATCGCTCTCTCTCTCTCACATTAATACATTCATATAAATGTAATCTTTACTGTGCTACTTTATCTGTATCTGATTTAGAACAAGCAGACTTTCATCACATAAATAAATAAAGTCATTCAGATTTCATTCAGTGTGTGTGTGTGAGTGTGTCTGTGTAACCCCTATTATGCACAATTGCACACTACTACTCTAACTTAAAAAGAGGTGATTGATTATGATTTCACTTTTCTAACTAGTTAGTGTGTAATGTTGCTGTTTGAGCGTAAACGACATCTGCAAAGTTACGACGCTCAAAGTTCAAAGCAAAGGGAGATATTTTCTTCTAAAGAAATTGCTTTTTAAGGACTACAACAAACGGCTGGTAGGAACTACAATGAGCTTCTTCACGGGTTAGTGACATCACTAACCCTAAAATTTACATAAACCCCGCCATAAGCTATATACAAGCTACATAAATTCATCAACTAACCATACAGAAATGTTGTCACTTCTTGAGTCTCTTCATCTTTCTATAACCGGGTTGAACATAAAAGGCTAAAAGTTTCTGAAATTTTCAGTGCGTGTGTGTGAGGTAATCGGAGCTGCTAACACACATTTGATTATTTTATTTGGAATGACCAATACTGATTAAAACAACACAGCATCCAAATATTCACAAAGAGCCTGTTATGTTTCACCTGACAATACACACATCGACAATAGTCACAACCACATGAATATATAAATAAATAGGCTATGGATAGAGGTGACATCGCCTTCTCCAAACATGCAGACTGCCTATGATTGCTGACACACACACACACAACACACACACACACGCAGACTGCCTATGATTGCTCACACACACACACACACACACACGCAGACTGCCTATGATTGCTGACACAGAACAGTATTTGGCTGTTTGCTTAAGAGATCTTTTTACTCAGTCCAGCAATTTGCAAACCCCTAACACACACACACCCACAAGCTCTTGAAGCTCCGCCCCCTGTGCCGGGAGCAGCAGCTCATTTGAATTTAAAGGGACAGACAGAAAACGAGGCGTTTTTGCTCACGCTCAAAAAGTGACAACTTTAACATGCTATATAAAAATATCTGTGAGGTATTTTGAGCTAAAACTTCACATACACACTCTGGGGACATCAGAGATTTATTTTACAGCTTGTGAAAAGCGCATTATACTAGGGATGTCCCGATCCGATCACGCGATCGGAAATCGGGCCCGATCACGTGGTTTCAGACTCGATCGGAATCGGACGTTCCCTCCCGATCAGGACTCGGATTTATGTAAATTAGGGGTGTAACGGTTCATGTATTCGTAATTATTGAACCGTTTCGGTACGAGGCTTCCGGTTCGGTACGCATACAAAACGAACGATTCCTAGGACCATTTTACCTGCAGACAAAATCCGCGCTGACGCGATCAACACAACGTGCGCAACATCAAATGGCAAACGTAATGAAAGCGGAACGAAACTGCGCTACTCATTATATTGTGCTTAACGGACCATTATCAGTTCGGACCAGCAACATCTGTGCAGCGCGAGATCAAGCGACACTGTGCTAAGAGATCCAGTGAAGAAAACATTTCAATTCGCCACTAAAGTAATAACATCGCTGCGATATCTAGTGAAACATGGACACCAGGAGAAACATTGTGCCGTGAATGAACATGGATTTAATGTTGCACTTCAAAACTCAAATATTATATAAATATATATTTAAATGTTATTTTTAATGTGATTACCAAAACATTATTTGTTCATCCTTCAAATATTATAAACCTGAAAGTTTCAAGATGTAGGAAAACTCAAACTTATTTAAAAATAGTTTCTTTTAATAAATAGGAAATTTCTCTGGCATTTCTTTCTTTTTGCTGTATCGTATCGAACCGAACCACAAATTTTGTGAACTGTTACACCCCTAATGTATATTATATTCTCATTATTTTTTTATACACTTTTAAAACATTTTTATTTTTTGTTTACATGCCTGCTGGGTATTTTAAGTTGAGGTGCTATTTGTTTTTATATTAGACTTTTTCAATATTTACTGTTGCACTAAAATCCAAAAGTGAAGATTTTATGTTATTTATTACTTGATTGTTCAAGCTACCTCACAGAAGTGCTCTGTTTGTTAACAGAGTTGTTGAATGTTAAAATATGGTGAATTAAATAAAAAATAAGGAACATCCTGGATCTGTTTTTTCTCTCTTCTTTATCATTTTTTTATGTATTATATAAGTATCGGATCGGGACTCGGTATCGGTAGATACTCAAAATCAAATGACTCGGACTCGAGGGCAAAAAAACCTGATCTGGACATCCCTACATTATACCACCCCTTGAAGTTATTCAGTGTGGCGTCAAATTTCCATGGGTAACACAGGGACATTACCTGGAGTCCAGCAGCACAGAAGATCAGTCTGACGGCCTGTCGAGCTGATGAACTGGATTCAGACTCGTTTCTGGCCGCCGTTGAAACATCATCCAGCAGTCCAGTTTTAGATTCATTCCCAAACACACACGTCTTTATGAGAGGAAAACAAAGCCCACGGCCTACAAAAACATGAGCAGTGTGTAAAATCAGGTTTATCAAGTACATTCTGCAAAAAGTCAACACAGGAGTTGTTGCAACATTCATGCATACGTCAAATTGTCTAGACTACTGAAAGCTATGTTGAAATACAAATTTAACATGGTAATGAAAATCAAAATATGACCATTTTGGTGCAAACAACTTTGAATAAAATAAGTGGGAAAAATAAAAAATTTGGTAACACTTTACAATAAGGTCCTATTTGTTTAAGCATTAACTAAAATTAAAGGGACCTTTTTCAAAGTCTTGATGTTTTTAAGCTCTCCTAGAACAGGTTTTCATGCTTGAATCTGTTCACATTTTCCTCATATTCTCCATTGTTGCGGCTCCTCTCGTCTGTCAGTAACGCTCTCTTTAGTTCCTGTCTCTATGAAGCTCCTCCTTCTGAAAAGCACACTGTGCTCTGATTGGTCGGCTGGATCAGTGTGCTGTGATTGGTTAAGCACTTCAAGCTTGTTTGGGAAATGTCCCGCCCCTTACCATAACCGCCAGTTTCAACACACCGGGAGTACACTGTGCGATTAGTTATAGTCCTTTACGATTGTCTTGTCAGACTGTACAAACATGATCATCGCTGTAAGCCATGTCACACTGTAAGATCTCAGTTGTCCTTAAAGGGTTAGTTCACCCAAAAATGAAAATGATGTCATTAATGACTCACCCTCATGTCGCTCCAAGCCCGTAAGACCTCCGTTCATCTTCGGGGCACAGTTTAAGACATTTTAGATTTAGTTCGAGAGCTTTCTGTCCCTCCATTGAAAATGTATGTACGGTAGGGTGCATCAAAAAACACAATTCTTGAATTTTGATATGGCTGGGTGCTAAAAGTGTTCCAATATATGTAGAAACAACACATGCAAAATATTTTTCCAGTACATGATGATTTAGGGGTGCCACCGTACATCTGTTTTTGTTGGATAAAGTGGTTAACAGTGTTCAATGGTCGCCATTGAGATCTGAGGTAAACAATACTACAGCTCAAGAAATCTGAGGTGATCTTTCTGAGGTGATCTTTCTGTGTTGGGTATGTATTATTACATATTACTATCATATCTGGAATTGTATCTTTGTATACTTATTTATCATAAGTCATTTAAGTCATATTTATAGGTATTTGGTGCTCATTACATCTAGCTAACATTAGCTAGCCACAGTTTGCTAACCACAGTTAGCTATGTATGTGTTAGCTAAGCTATTAAGCGTAACATCAACAGTATTCTAGAGTAGACAATGTCATATTCACAGTATAGATGACTCATGTTTATTGAGAGTAGCATTGTAGTTGGTGGTAGACTTAGTCAATGCTAACAACAAGCTGCGGAAAATCGCCCAGGCCAATCGCTCCAGTGAGACTACAGCGAAACAATTGGAGAAAATGGAGTGCAGACTTGATGCCAGATTTCCGCTGTGGCCCCCAAATGTTAAAAAGCTGATTGATAACCCAGAAGACCTAGCTTTCTTGGCCAGCATGAAGAATGAGAGAGTGGGCACATTTGGGGCAGGTTTCACAAAGCCATTTTAGACTATAGTCTATATTGTTAGACAAGTCTAAAATTTGCTCATAGACTAGTCTAATGCAAGTTAGACTGTTTCACAAAAATTTAGACCAAAAAAATTAGACGCCTTCCCCCCCAGGCTAACTTAGGTCTAAGTCTCTGTTACCTTGGCAACCAACAGTAACAATCAGTTACATTACAAACAGCCGAAAGCAAAGGGAAAATGGCCCTTTCCAAATTAAGCATTTCTTCTTCTTACTACATTCTCCGCTAATTTTCCCAAGTAAAATGTCCTTGTAACTGTTATACTCCTCCAACAAACATATATTTTCCACTGGGGTAAACTGCACTGAGCGGATGAATGCGATTACTCGATCCGCCATGTTTTTTGTTTTGAAAAGTGTCTTATTTTACCCAGAATGCAATGCAGTGTAGTCCTACTTAAGATAGTCAGAGTCTTAAGCGCTTTGTGCAACGGTCTGATTTAGATGTCTATGTGAAGTCTGACTATCTACTATATCTAAGCCATAGTCAAAGTCTATCTTTGTGAAACCGGCCCTTGGTGTATTGGACAAAAAGCTGCAGCTCAAGAGGCGAGAGGAGCGTCAAGCTGCCGCAGCAGCCGGGCAGTCCCGCTGTGAAAAGGAGCTGGAGGAGATGGCGGCAATGTCCAGCTTGGAGTCGGAGATTGATGAGGAGACAGAGGAGGATACTAACACAGTCTATCCACCATCTGAGGGCGAACCATCCCACAAGCATAAGAAGACTGGAACAAACGTCTTCATTCCACATGACATCCTTAGCCGACCAAGTGTCGTGTCTCTGGCTACAAGGTTGAAGATGTCACCAATGCAACAGGCTGCCTTCACGCGTGGCCTTGTTGCAGAGTCAGGCAGTGAATGTACACATCTCTGTGCATCTTACGCAAATACTGACCGAGCAAGACGCCAAGTGCTGGAGACAATCAGTGAGGAACAGCACAAGCAGTGGACACCACCTCCATTGTGCACCCTACACTGGGACAGCAAGTTAACACAGATGCTCAGCAATGTTGGAGGTGCGTTTTACAGTAGTGGTTGGAGATACAGAGCGGATGAAACTGCTTGGTGTCTCAGCGTATAAGAAGCAGACCAATGAGGCATGTGGAATGATCATTGCCCGGTTGACATGCAAGTTGCTGCAGGACTGGTGCTGCACTGACCAGGTTGTAAACATGGCATTTGACACCACTGCGTCAAACACCGGCCATCTCACAGCAGCCTGCATTGCCATACAGCTCTCACTGGGCCGACCACTGCTTTGGTCTGGGTGCCGGCACCACATTGGTGAGGTCCTCCTGAACCAGGTTTTCACAGTGAGGTCAATGTACGTGCAATGAACGTGGTCAATGGGCCAAAGTTCATGTGTTAGGTGGCACCCCTAAATCTCAATGGAATTCCTCAAAACTTTGCAAAAGTCATTTTTATGTTAATTGGAACAAAATGCAATGCCAGCCAAATTGATATTTTGAAATTATAACTTCCCATTCAAATTTGATGCACCCTAATGTACGGTATACTGTCCTTGTCCAGAAAGGAAATAAAGACATCATCAAAGTAGTCCATGTGACATCAGTGGGTTAGTTAGAGTGTTTTGAAGCATCGAAAATACATTTTGGTCCAAAAATAACAAAAACTACGACTTTATTCAGCATTGTATTGTCTTCCAGTTCTGTTGTGGATCCGCGTTCAGTGACGCTGCTGACGTGTGTCTGGTGCGTCCGTGTATTCGGGTTCAAATAAATATGGCTGGGGAAAAAAATGCAAGTCTTCCTCTGTGTGGAAATCCTTAGACATGTTTGCGAAGATTGTTTTGTTTCCAGCGTGCGTCTCCCTCAGACTGTAAACGAAGCTCGGGCGCACCAGACACACGTCAGCAGCGTCTTACGTCAGCAGCGGCACTGAACGCGGATCCACAACAGAACCGGAAGACAATACAATGCTGAATAAAGTCCTAGTTTTTGTTATTTTTGGACCAAAATGTATTTTCGATGCTTCAAAACACTCTAACTAACCCACTGATGTCACATGGACTACTTTGATGATGTATTTATTTCCTTTCTGGACAAGGACAGTATACCGTACATATATTTCCAATGGAGGGACAGAAAGCTCTCGAACTAAATCTAAAATATCTTAAACTGTGTCCCGAAGATGAACGGAGGTCTTACGGGCTTGGAACGACATGAGGGTGAGTCATTAATGACATCATTTTCATTTTTGGGTGAACTAGCCCTTTAATGTCAGAGAAAAATCCTGGAATGTTTTCCTCAAAAACCTTAATTTCTTTTCGACTGAAGAAAGAAAGACATGGACATTGTGGATGACATGGGGGTGAGTAAATTATCAGGAAATTTTCATTTGAAACAAAAATTAACTAATCCTTTAACTTAACCAGGCCCCGCCCCTATTATTCTGCGTATGAATTATTTAAATGAGGAATATTGTGAATATTGTGTTTACAAATGGAACCTTGTTCTAAAGTGATACCAAATTGTTTTTACAAAAATGCAGTACATGACTACACAAGAACGAAACAATTGAGAAATTCCAACGAACCGGTTTCTAGATAATTGACTCGTTTGAAGTAGCTGATTAGGAAATATCCAGGGATGATGATGGTGGCGTATCCCAGAACATTGAGGAACAAGCGGAAGAGCCACACGTCCTGCCAGCCGCCCAGCAGAGACACATCTTCAGCATCCGCTCGCACAGTCGGCAGGACACACAGCGCCGCACACACACACAAACTGAAGGGAAGAGAAGTGGAGAAGATTAGAAACAAAATTATGCTATTTATTTTTATGCATTTCCCCTTGAAGACAGGAGTCTGAAGCGAAGCGATGCATTTGTGTAAGACAAATATCCATATTTAAAACTTTATAAAGTAAAATAACTAGCTTCCGGCCAAACGAACATACGGATTCGACTTAAAGGGATAGTTCACCCAAAAATGAAAACTCTGTCAGTAATGACTCTCCCTCATGTTGTTCCAACCCCGTAAGACTTTCGTTCATCTTCGGAACACAAATGAAGATATTTTTGATTAAATCTGAGAGCTGTCTCACTCCTCCATAGGCTTCTATTGTAATTGAAACTTTCTGGGCCGGCAAGTTTCAAAAGACATCGTTAAAATAGTCCAAGTGACGACAGTGGCTCAACCTTAAGTTTATCAAGCGACGAGAATACTTTCTGTGCGCAAAAAACAAACAACTTTATTCAACTCTTCATTTCCTTCTCTGTGGGCGTCGAGTGAGTTCACGTAGTGTAACAGCGCAGCGCTTCTGGGTTGTACGTCACACGCAGGCTCACTATTGGCCGACGCTGGTCATGTGTGTGATGCGTGTGACGTATATCTTAAAAATATTGTAATTTTTTTTTGGGTGAACTATCCCTTTAAGTCTAAGCGTAATTTACGCGAGTAATGCGACATGCTGCTGATATTTACGCTACACCATGACGCACTACGCTACTTCTGACATCACAAGTTGCATAAGTTGCGCATTAGGCGTAAGTAGAATCCGTATGACCGTTCGGCCGAAAGCTAGAATTCTATTTTGAATATGAATATTTTTCTTGCACTAACCCATCGCTTCACTTTAGAAGGTCTTTATTAACCCCCCAGAGCCTGTGGAACACTTTTATGACGGATAGATGCGCTTTTATGACGGATAGATGCGCTTTTATGGATAGATGGATGCGCTTTTATGACGGATAGATGCGCTTTTATGGATAGATAGATGCGCTTTTATGATGGACAGATGCACTTATGATGGATAGATGCGCTTTTATCATGGACAGATGTACTTATGATGGATAGATGCGCTTTTATGATGGATAGATGCGCTTTTATGGATAGATAGATGCGCTTTTATGATGGACAGATGCGCTTTTATGGATAGATAGATGCGCTTTTATGATGGACAGATGCGCTTTTATCATGGACAGATGTACTTATGATAGATAGATGCGCTTTTATGATGGATAGATGCGCTTTTATGGATAGATAGATGCGCTTTTATGATGGACAGATGCGCTTTTATCATGGACAGATGTACTTATGATGGATAGATGCGCTTTTATGACGGATAGATGCGCTTTTATGACGGATAGATGCGCTTTTATGGATAGATAGATGCGCTTTTATGACGGATAGATGCGCTTTTATGATGGATAGATGGATGCGCTTTTATGATGGATAGATGCGCTTTTATGACGGATAGATGCGCTTTTATGATGGATAGATGCGCTTTTATGATGGATAGATGCGCTTTTATGACGGATAGATGCGCTTTTATGACGGATAGATGCGCTTTTATGGATAGATAGATGCGCTTTTATGATGGATAGATGCGCTTTTATGACGGATAGATGCGCTTTTATGATGGATAGATGCGCTTTTATGACGGATAGATGCGCTTTTATGACGGATAGATGCGCTTTTATGACGGATAGATGCGCTTTTATGGATAGATAGATGCGCTTTTATGATGGATAGATGCGCTTTTATGACGGATAGATGCGCTTTTATGATGGATAGATGGATGCGCTTTTATGACGGATAGATGCGCTTTTATGACGGATAGATGCGCTTTTATGGCGGATAGATGCGCTTTTATGGATAGATAGATGAGCTTTTATGATGGATAGATGCGCTTTTATGACGGATAGATGCGCTTTTATGACGGATAGATGCGCTTTTATGATGGATAGATGCGCTTTTATGGATAGATGCGCTTTTATGGATAGATGCGCTTTTATGGATAGATAGATGCGCTTTTATGATGGACAGATGCGCTTTTATGGATAGATAGATGCGCTTTTATGACGGATAGATGCGCTTTTATGGATAGATGCGCTTTTATGATGGATAGATGCGCTTTTATGACGGATAGATGCGCTTTTATGGATAGATAGATGCGCTTTTATGATGGACAGATACGCTTTTATGGATAGATAGATGCGCTTTTATGGATAGATAGATGCGCTTTTATGATGGACAGATGTACTTATGATGGACAGATGTGCTTTTATCATGGACAGATGTACTTATGATGGATAGATGCGCTTTTATGACGGATAGATGGGCTTTTATGACGGATAGATGCGCTTTTATGACGGATAGATCCGCTTTTATGACAGATAGATGCGCTTTTATGACGGATAGATGCGCTTTTATGACGGATAGATGCGCTTTTATGGATAGATAGATGCGCTTTTATGACGGATAGATGCGCTTTAATGACGGATAGATGCGCTTTTATGACGGATAGATGCGCTTTTATGGATAGATAGATGCGCTTTTATGATGGATAGATGCGCTTTTATGACGGATAGATGCGCTTTTATGACGGATAGATGCGCTTTTATGGATAGATAGATGCGCTTTTATGATGGATAGATGCGCTTTTATGACGGATAGATGCGCTTTTATGACGGATAGATGCGCTTTTATGGATAGATAGATGCGCTTTTATGACGGATAGATCCGCTTTTATGACGGATAGATGCGCTTTTATGACGGATAGATGCGCTTTAATGGATAGATAGATGCGCTTTTATGACGGATAGATGCGCTTTTATGGATAGATAGATGCGCTTTTATGATGGACAGATGTGCTTTTATCATGGACAGATGTACTTATGATGGATAGATGCGCTTTTATGACGGATAGATGCGCTTTTATGATGGATAGATGCGCTTTAATGGATAGATAGATGCGCTTTTATGACGGATAGATGCGCTTTTATGGATAGATAGATGCGCTTTTATGATGGACAGATGTGCTTTTATCATGGACAGATGTACTTATGATGGATAGATGCGCTTTTATGACGGATAGATGGGCTTTTATGACGGATAGATGCGCTTTTATGACGGATAGATGCGCTTTTATGACGGATAGATCTGCTTTTATGACGGATAGATGCGCTTTTATGACGGACAGATAGATGCGTTTTTATGACGGATAGATGCGCTTTTATGGATAGATGCGCTTTTATGATGGATAGATGCGCTTTTATGACGGATAGATGCGCTTTTATGGATAGATGCGCTTTTATAGATAGATAGATGCGCTTTTATGACGGATAGATGCGCTTTTATGGATAGATAGATGCGCTTTTATGACGGATAGATGCGCTTTTATGGATAGATAGATGCGCTTTTATGATGGACAGATGTGCTTTTATCATGGACAGATGTACTTATGATGGATAGATGCGCTTTTATGACGGATAGATGGGCTTTTATGACAGATAGATGCGCTTTTATGACGGATAGATGCGCTTTTATGACGGATAGATGCGCTTTTATGACGGATAGATCTGCTTTTATGACGGATAGATGCGCTTTTATGACGGACAGATAGATGCGCTTTTATGACGGATAGATGCGCTTTTATGGATAGATGCGCTTTTATGGATAGATAGATGTGCTTTTATGACGGATAGATGCGCTTTTATGGATAGATAGATGCGCTTTTATGACGGATAGATGCGCTTTTATGATAGACAGATGCGCTTTTATGGATAGATAGATGCGCTTTTATGACGGATAGGTGCGCTTTTATGGATAGATGCGCTTTTATGATGGATAGATGCGCTTTTATGACGGATAGATGCGCTTTTATGGATAGATAGATGCGCTTTTATGATGGATAGATGCGCTTTTATGGATAGATAGATGGGCTTTTATGGATAGATGCGCTTTTATGGATAGATGGATGCGCTTTTATGATGGACAGATGCACTTATGATGGATAGATGCGCTTTTATGGATAGATGCGCTTTTATGGATAGATAGATGGGCTTTTATAGATAGATGCGCTTTTATGGATAGATGGATGCGCTTTTATGATGGACAGATGCACTTATGATGGATAGATGCGCTTTTATGGATAGATAGATGCGCTTTTATCATGGATAGATGCACTTTTATGACGGATAGATGCGCTTTTATGATGGATAGATGGATGCGCTTTTATGATGGATAGATGCGCTTTTATGACGGATAGATGCGCTTTTATGATGGATAGATGCGCTTTTATGACGGATAGATGCGCTTTTATGACGGATAGATGCGCTTTTATGGATAGATAGATGCGCTTTTATGATGGATAGATGCGCTTTTATGACGGATAGATGCGCTTTTATGACGGATAGATGCGCTTTTATGACGGATAGATGCGCTTTTATGACGGATAGATGCGCTTTTATGGATAGATGCGCTTTTATGGATAGATAGATGCGCTTTTATGATGGACAGATGCGCTTTTATGGATAGATAGATGCGCTTTTATGACGGATAGATGCGCTTTTATGGATAGATGCGCTTTTATGATGGATAGATGCGCTTTTATGACGGATAGATGCGCTTTTATGGATAGATGCGCTTTTATGGATAGATAGATGCGCTTTTATGATGGACAGATGCGCTTTTATGGATAGATAGATGCGCTTTTATGGATAGATAGATGCGCTTTTATGGATAGATAGATGCGCTTTTATGATGGACAGATGTACTTATGATGGACAGATGTGCTTTTATCATGGACAGATGTACTTATGATGGATAGATGCGCTTTTATGACGGATAGATGGGCTTTTATGACGGATAGATGCGCTTTTATGACGGATAGATCCGCTTTTATGACGGATAGATGCGCTTTTATGACGGATAGATGCGCTTTTATGACGGATAGATGCGCTTTTATGGATAGATAGATGCGCTTTTATGACGGATAGATGCGCTTTAATGACGGATAGATGCGCTTTTATGACGGATAGATGCGCTTTTATGGATAGATAGATGCGCTTTTATGACGGATAGATGCGCTTTTATGACGGATAGATCCGCTTTAATGGATAGATAGATGCGCTTTTATGACGGATAGATGCGCTTTTATGGATAGATAGATGCGCTTTTATGATGGACAGATGTGCTTTTATCATGGACAGATGTACTTATGATGGATAGATGCGCTTTTATGACGGATAGATGCGCTTTTATGACGGATAGATGCGCTTTAATGGATAGATAGATGCGCTTTTATGACGGATAGATGCGCTTTTATGGATAGATAGATGCGCTTTTATGATGGACAGATGTGCTTTTATCATGGACAGATGTACTTATGATGGATAGATGCGCTTTTATGACGGATAGATGCGCTTTAATGGATAGATAGATGCGCTTTTATGACGGATAGATGCGCTTTTATGGATAGATAGATGCGCTTTTATGATGGACAGATGTGCTTTTATCATGGACAGATGTACTTATGATGGATAGATGCGCTTTTATGACGGATAGATGGGCTTTTATGACGGATAGATGCGCTTTTATGACGGATAGATGCGCTTTTATGACGGATAGATCTGCTTTTATGACGGATAGATGCGCTTTTATGACGGATAGATAGATGCGCTTTTATGACGGATAGATGCGCTTTTATGGATAGATGCGCTTTTATGATGGATAGATGCGCTTTTATGACGGATAGATGCGCTTTTATGGATAGATGCGCTTTTATGGATAGATAGATGCGCTTTTATGACGGATAGATGCGCTTTTATGATAGACAGATGCGCTTTTATGGATAGATGCGCTTTTATGATGGATAGATGCGCTTTTATGACGGATAGATGCGCTTTTATGGATAGATAGATGCGCTTTTATGATGGATAGATGCGCTTTTATGGATAGATAGATGGGCTTTTATGGATAGATGCGCTTTTATGGATAGATGGATGCGCTTTTATGATGGACAGATGCACTTATGATGGATAGATGCGCTTTTATGGATAGATAGATGCGCTTTTATCATGGATAGATGCACTTTTATGATGGATAGATGCGCTTTTATGACGGATAGATGCGCTTTTATGGATAGATAGATGCGCTTTTATCATGGATAGATGCACTTTTATGATGGATAGATGCGCTTTTATGACGGATAGATGCACTTTTATGATGGATAGATGCGCTTTTATGACGGATAGATGCGCTTTTATGGATAGATAGAGGCGCTTTTATGATGGACAGATGCGCTTTTATGGATAGATAGATTCGCTTTTATGGATAGATGGATGCGCTTTTATTATGGATAGATGCGCTTTTATGATGGATGGATGCGCTTTTATCATGGACAGATGCACTTATGATGGATAGATGCACTTTTATGATGGATAGATGCACTTTTATGATGGACAGATGCCCTTTTATGATGGATAGATGCACTTTTATGATGGACAGATGCACTTTTATGATGGACAGATGCACTTTTATGATGGACAGATGCACTTTTATGATGGACAGATCCACTTTTATGATGGATAGATGCGCTTTGATGGACTTCAAAACAGAAACGGCCATTCACTGCCATTATAAAGCTTGGAAGAGCCAGAACATTTTTTAATATAACTCTGATTGTATTCGTCTGAAAGAAGAAAGTCATATACACCTAGGATGGCTTAAGGGTGAGTAAATCATGGGGGCTAATTTTCATTTTTGGGTGAACTATCCCTTTAAAGACAGAAGTCTGCATGAACACCGAAATGTCACATATCTGCAAACAAACCTGGTCGAAATGCAACACAGGAATCTTTTGGAAAAGAAATCAAGTGTAACTTTTCTCCATAATTTTGTGTGTGTGTCTTTTGAGCATTTCTGGAATTCAGCAGGTCTCGTCCCAGGAGTCTGATCCCAGTCCAACAGAAGGTCTTTGTGCACAGAGCTGGACTGCAGGATCGACACACACTAACCTCTATTCAAACCCTGCAGCGTTACCTGACACCACAGATTACTGCACGATTAGAAGAACTGGATGAACGCTTCATTACAGACGGAATGCGTCCCAGTGTAAATTCAGAGCATTGTAATGAAGAGGCTTCATAAAGGTGTTTATGCTAAGAGTCTCTGAAAGAATACAGTCAATAAACACCTTCTGACATGCTAATTTCTATTTTAGAATAAAAATTTCTAGCAGATTAAATAGCATACAGTACCGGTCAAAAGTTTGGTTAAAGTGATCACAGGTTCCACACAAAATATTAAGAAGCTCAACTGTTTCCATTATTGATAGTAAATCATCATATTAGAATGATTTCTGAAGGATCATGTGACACTGAAGACTGGAGTAATGATGCTGAAAATTCAGCTTTGCATCACAAAAATAAATTATATTTTAAAGTATATTAAAATAGAAAATATTTATTTTAAATTGTAATAATATTACTGCTTTTTCTGTATATTTGATCAAATAAATGCAGGCTTGATGAGCAAAAGAGACTTCTTTCAAAAATATTAAAAGCAATAATGTTTCCAAACTTTTGACCGGAACTTATGCATGTATGTATGTATATATCCAACTGGAATAATGCTCATCAAGGCTGCATTTATTTGAGCCACAATATAGGAAAAACAGTAATATTGTGAAGTATTCTTAAGATTTAAAATAACAGTTGTCTTCAAATGTAATATATTCCTGTGATCAAAGCTGAATTTCCAGCATCATTACTCCAGTCTTCAGTGTCACATGATCCTTCAGAAATCACTCTAATATGCTGATTTGATACTCAATTATTAATATTGTTTCTAATCAATGTTGAACAGTTTTTGCTGCTTCATATTACTTTGGAAACAGTGATACAGTGTTTTCATGATTGACTGATGAATAGAAAAGAACAGCAAGAAACACAAGTAAACATTCATCAAAGCAGACAATTCTGTGGATTCTTTCAATTCAGAAGAATCTAAATATGACGTGATACATATCAATGTTACAGTGTTGCACTAGAAGTGACTGTGACATCGGATATAGAACATTTAAATGTTATTGTGATGTTTCATCATCATGTTTCAGTACCTCCATGGAAACAGAGGCATTTTCAAGCAGCCGCCGCTCCGCCTGTTCAAAACTCCCTAAAACAGCCGCTGAGAGTCTCCAAACGAGCTCCTGCGCGGATCATGTACCGATAAAGCCTTGTACCTGTAATTAAATAAGCAACATCCAGGATCCGGACAAATCCCGTGTGTTTCTGACCTGAAACTTCTCGGCCTGCTTCACTCATGAGTTCGTCTGTGCTGAGTGACGTGTTAACACTAACACACACTACACCGCTTCCGGTTGCGAAAGGAGACACACCTTCACATATCCGTGTAATTTCCACTTAGATATTGTGTTATGAGGCTTCGGTAAATATTTGAATGTTTTATTGTTTGACAGACGTGTTGACAGTTGAGAGAATGAAATGTCCTTGTGTTTCTTGGGTGGGGGTTCATTATTCTATAGGAAGGACCTTTATTTTGTAATGTATTCTGAAGTCACGCGTCACTTCAAACTTATGCTGGGATCATGGACATAATCATTGCCGCTTATCTGTGATTTTAAAATATTTTATCACATTGTATTAGAATATTAAGGAAACAATTCCAAAATATCAAAAATACAGTTAAATATATATTTATAAAAATGTTACTTTTATTGCATGTTGTAACATTACTTGTTAATGGAAGTTATGTTGTCACCAAATATTAAAAATAAAAAATTATGTATTAGAAGATAGAAAAATGTACTAGATACTCATTTAATTTTAGCTGCTTCCCCGTTTTATATATTATATTTTATTAGTTTATTATTTTTAAGCTATTTGTCCTCAATACTCATTGAGAAAAAAAGTATATCTTTAAGTATCAGATATTGTAAAATATATATTCATTAATTTTGTACAAAAAAAAGTTATAACTAAATATTTAGGTAACAATTTCCAATCAGGTTTCATTCGTTAACATCAGTTAAGTACATTAACTAACATGAACTAACAATTAATAGTTTAATTTTAAATAATTAACCCTGGTCCATAACACCATTAACAAAAAATTTATGAATACTGATTAAAGAAATGTATTGCTCATTGTTAATTAATTTGTGAAATAATTGGACATTATTGTAAAATGTTACCAATTGGTTATATTAAAAAAATTATGCATTTAATTAAATATTTATAGAATTGCACAGTAAAGAAAATCATCATATTCATAAACAAGGACATGTACTTGTTTTACTAGAAGTAGAAACAAGTGTAGTTTACATGAATGAGATAATGTGTGGTGAGTATGAGGAAGAGTGATGTGGCACATGATGGAAAAACACACATTTACAGGAACTTGTTTTTGTGTGTTCTGGTCATTGATGTTTCCCAGTATTAACACGCTTGACAACTGCACATTTCTCCTCTTAATCCAAAGCATGAATCTGTCTCCACCAGTGTCTATTTGGTTTGTATTAGACGTAGTGTTTGACACTGCAAGTCAAAATAACATGGTTGTGAAGTAAACAAGAAAGTCGTTTGGTCCCAACATAGAACGTTTATCATTTGCATGTGTTTCTAAGTCTTGCCAGTTTAAATATTCAAGCTATTTTAAACCATTCAAGCACCAGAAGATGCGAAAGAAAACTCAATTCTGTACTCACACGCTGTTATCTGTTCCTTTTTCGTGTCTCCTTGCACTTGTCTTGTACAGACACATTTACACAAAATTATCTCAAAATAACTATATAGTCAAGTATTCTTTAAACACAGTCGGTTATATATGAACGTAAACAAAGAAATCAGATGTGTATCAGTATATTGGATCCGTGCGTCAGGTCTTAAAGTGACAGAAGCCAATAAATACCTGCTGCTGTCTGTCATGAAATGCTAATAAAAAAACAGCTTTAACAAAGATGAATCTATTTAATTCATACAGTGAAAACTATAACATTTCTGTACCTGAACACTACTGTTAGACTAATTTATCTTACTACTGACTGTTCACTTGTCTATAATAGATCCTTGTTGATCCGATCCGTGACTAAAAAAAAAACTATAATATGATCCGAGCCACGAGTTTGTGATCCGTTACACCCCTAGAACCCGAATCATTAAAACAAGTCTTGTGTTTAGTAGAAAGAAAACGCTGCACATAAATATTAAAACTACTTTTATTGGCACTATGACCCTGTTTCTTGGAAAACAAGTTTGCAAAGCAGTGTTTCATTCGCTCATCTGGTTTACAACAGCACAGTCTTGCTACAAAAACATCAATATTGCTAATCAGAGATCAGAATGCATTTGTGTTGCTGAACATTAAGGTTGTTCAACAGACTACATATAATATGAGTTATGTGCGCACCGAACTCCATGGGATGAAGCAGCAGCAAATAATTCTGCATGAATGGGCGGAAGCTGTTACCGCTGAATAAATCAACCAGCACGATCATCACTGGACATAAATAGTTGCGGTTACCGGCACACAAACCCACAAGTCCTGCAACTTCAGATCAAAGTTTTTTTGTTTGTATTTTTTTTTTTTTTTAAGAACATGCCGTCCCTCGTGTTCACATGTTTAGTTACATGTCCTCAAGTTCGTTACAGTCCTGCCCATGATCTGAATGTCATCAAAGGGGAACAAGGCCAATATCTGCAAAACAAAAAGGAGAAACTGTTACCACATCATCCTATTTCTGACGTAAAGCGTACAGAGAAAAGGCATGTATGCTGCTGCTTGCCAGTCAACATGAAATGGATTTCACAAAGTGCCCTGATGATAAATGATGCCCAATAATACAATGAATGCGTGTTAAGAACGTACGTAGGGTCTAGTTTTCGGTATTCTCACGCCGCACATCAACGAGGATGTTTACATGCATACATATTAAGCTTTATCTCATGTAAATAGGGCTGAGCGCTCTTCCCAAAATTAATATCACAATTTTATAACAACCAATCACAATCTGAATCACGAGCTTCCCAATTTTGAGATGTACTATTGAGAATATCCAGACTGAAACAAGCCTATGGACTTCATCTAGTTGCATCATTTAAAACACAGTATTGCATTAAACAATCAGTTGTCAAAATAGTCATTAAACCCAGAGTTAACTTTAAAACACTGCATAGTCTTCAGTGTATGAATTAAATATACATTATACCGTATTAAAACTACTCGGGTTGTTCAGTCAAGAGCAGCGAGTGATTTTGTCGGTATTTAAATTAGGCTCTAAGACCGAATGCATGGATCTAATATAAATTACAATATAGTATTTATTTTGTTATATTTTCAGTTGTTTAAATCTTTTCATTGAAATTGTATGTGCTTTTGTAATTTTAATTATTTTTTGCTTTAAGTTTGTTTCAGTAATTTTAGTATTTAAACAGTTTATTTTATGAGTTGTTTTAAGCATGTTGCTATGTAGTATATTTCAGTTTTCATTTAAATTTTTGTCAAATTTAGCCATGTTCATTTGTCATTTTAATTAGTTTTTTGTATGTTTGTATTTATCTTTAATTTATCTCCACTTTCAACTTATTATTCCACTTAAAGCTGCCGTCGGCAAGTCTGGCAGATTGAGTGGACTTAGGCAAAATTTTGAATGTTTACAACTCTCATGGCCCTCCCCCACTATCAACGAATACCCTCCCACCGAGTTCGTGCTCGTCAGTGCGTGTGCACCAGATTTTCAGTGAACGCGCCCGTCTCATCAGCATCCATCAACACCATGGAGTATTTGGAGGTATGCTGTCCTGGCTAATCTACTGATTGCTAACGTACCAATTGCTAACGTCATTTATACTCTAAATGAGCTTACTTGATTTGTTAGTGTTTTGAAAGCGAGATACAAGTGTCGGATGAAGACTATGTCATGTGATTGTAACGTGCGTGAGGGGTGGCGTGTGCCCGATCTGTGATTGACAGTCAGATCTCACACCCCCCTGCGCTAATTGGACCCGATGATCCGGGAGCGGTGGATTTTTGCCAAACAAATAACACGCTCCAGGTGGAGTTAGAAGCTCGGGGTTTTTTCTAAACCACTTTATTTATGTTGTTCTGTCGGATTATAGTGTCGATTTCACTGAATATGATCAAAAAAATAAAGGAGCATTGCGGAAGTTCTGAAATTTCTAACCGTTACTGACACCAGTGGCCGTTAGAGAAACTGCAGCCAGTCTCATGCTCGTTCTTGGTGCGCACGCTCGCACGCTCGTTGGCCGCACTAGATAAGGCTTTTTTTTTTTTTTTTTTACGAGGAGTTTCCGTGGGTGTCTGGATTGTGCTGGAGGCTGGTCGCTTCTTTCCGTCCATTTGAAACACTACTGCTAGCGATTGCCTGCTTACTAATGGCTGCCGTACGGATGTAAGCCCAAGTAGACAAGAACGCGCATGACGACACATTTTGTGAATTTTCACGCCAATTCGGACCCGACTCCTCCACACACAATTGAGCCTACAGGCTGATAGAGGCAACCGTGGTGGACAGTCAAGGTGTCATTCTTTCTATTACATTATGGTTGGCTCATAAATGTACAAATGAAGACTCTATCTAAAAGATTTTTTTAAGTAAAAACCTACACATAGCCCCTTTAACTGATTATTTTATTTAAATTTGCGTTGACGTTTTTTATGTTTATGTGTATTATCTGATATTGATTTTATTTCAGCTTTATTTCAGTTCACAAAAAAGATTCTTAATAGTTTCAGTTGTAGGTAATAATAACAGCTCTTAAACGGATAGTTCACCCAAAAATGAAAATTCTGTCATAATTTACTCACCCTCAAGTTGTTTCAAACCTGTATGAGTTTTGAAACAGACAGTTGCTGGACCCCATTGACTTCCATAGTAGGAAAAAAAGATACTATGGAAGTCAATGGGGTCCAGCAACTGTCTGGTCACCAACATTCTTCAAAATATCTTCTTTTGTGTTCAGCAGAAGAAAGAAACTCATACAGGTTTGAAACAACTTGAGGGTGAGTAAATTTTGACAGAATTTTAATTTTTGGGTGAACTATCCCTTTAATAAGAAAAGCTCTTTATCGAGATGATTTGTAGATGAGGATTTGTGTGTGTGTGTGTGTGTGTGTATACATGTATTCATGTATTTCTCCGAATGATTTGTATATGCGACCGGAAGATGTTTGTAAAATAAGTTTGTGGTGTCTTGTAATCCCATGTGGAATGGGCCAAATGTTTGGCATGACACAGAAATAAAAAATTGAACTTGAGCAGCACTGATACAGGGTCGGTTCAGTCTGATTCTGAAGATTGTGTTAAGCTTTAGCATTGTTTTGCTGGATACTAAGGTAACATGGATCTTCTTACATCGTCGTTGCCGTCTGCTAGATCCAGGGCTGTTTCGTCCTCCATGTTTCGGATCATCTTGTCGGCTCCGGCCTGGCACAGGAGGTTTGCGATGGGGGCGTCCTGTCGACCCACGGCCAGATGCAGAGCGGTGCAGCCGTTGAACATGACGGCGTCAACATTCGCCCCTCTGTTCAGAAGCAGAGTCACCGCGGGCACATCGTGGAGCTCCACCGCCACATGTAGCGCCGTCTTCCCGCTCGTTCCCTCCTGGACGACACAAGAATGAGGAAACACGTGGATGTTTGGTCTCGAGGCTGAAGGTGTTCAGCAAGAGCAACAGATCAGATTGAGCTGCTCACCTGTATGTTCAGATCCACACCGTTCTTCATCAACAGCCGCATGAGGCGATGGTGCTTGTGTACGGTGGCCACATGGAGACATGCGAGACCTGCAATAAACCACAATATTGTATGCCTTGATTAATATATTTATGCATTTGACAGATGCTTTTATGCAAAGCAACTTGCATTACATTCAATGTATCTATTTAATTAGTTCATTAGGGGTGTAACGATACTGAACTCACGATATGATATTATTGCGATACTCCAAGACATATGGTAAAAGGTTACCTCTAAACAAAAAATTACTGTTGATTAAAATGCTAAATTTGGTTTTACATTGTGTGTGTAAATGAATAGGCTTGGACTTTGTGCTGGAAACCCAAAGGACAGGACAATAGAGACACCAGAATAACAATATTCATGATTCTGAAGCTGAAAATACTGAATTATTTTAGACAAATGCTTGCACTCGGTCACTGACTAGATATATTTAAAATAATGCACCACTTTTTACTAGTAACAGACATTTGGCATTATCAGGACCCACAAATATTCCCCGATTGCATTAATATACATGTGTAGTATAATATATAATACAATGTAGTACTGACACTAAAACTCTGAATTTTTTTCATTTTGGGTGAATTATACACAATACATATTGTCACTATAATATAGTATCAAGTCTGATGCCAGAAACTACTCTACACTCCTGCTATACGTACATTTACAGGGAACTAATGTAGAGACTGCTTCTCTGCCATGACAGTAACTGACATAAAGAGAAAACTCAATGATGACAACGTTATGAAACCCTGATACTGGAAGTCCATTAAACATGGAAAAACTCCAGGGCACTTTTGATGGCAACTTCCTCGTTCTGGCACGACTGTTTCTGTTCAATAAAAACCCTCATGTTATGATGCTAGGGTGTTCTGGATGCTTATGAGCATGTTGCATAGTGGCATCGGTTTGTTAAAATCACGAATAAGTATTATGACTACCAAATAAGGGGGGGGTGATTCTCTCTACAACAATTCTGGATTGATTCTGAGCTTACTTTTTACAAATTGTATATATAAGTGGTTAAATGAACTTGCATCTCAAAATACTTTTATGTCACGAAATGAATGTAAACACAGTCAGTTATGTCTTAAGGGATTCAACAGACTCAAAAGAGGTCTGTGCATTAGTGTGAATGCAACTTATTAGTGCGCCCGCTGTCTATGATGTCATCAGTAATAATCATACAACAGTAAAGCTGAGAAAGATAATACTGAAAGCACTGTTTATTTCCAGTAATATATTTCTTTGTTCCTCTTTATGATTTATTACTTGCTTTTATGTTTTGAAGCTATCATTATACATTTTAAATTCTTAACATATAATTTTTTAATTTGTACTAATTTGTTTAACTCATTTCTCCGGTTTCACAGACGAGGCTTAAGCTAGTCTCAGACTAAAAAGCATGTTTGAGCCATTTCAACTGAACGCAACTTGCCCTGACATACCTTAAAATAGACATACCTTAAAATATGTCAGTGTCATTGTTTTGTCTCATAATGTACACCAGTAATGTTTTTTTTTCTAAGGCATGTTTATAAAAAACTACTTAAATGCGCTTATTGAACTCAGGCCTAATCCTGGCTTAATCTAAGCCAAAGACAATAGAATAACACAAGAATAACCCAATCCTGGCTTAATCTAAGCCAAAGACAATAGAATAACACAAGAATAACCCAATCCTGGCTTAATCTAAGCCAAAGACAATAGAATAACACAAAAATAACCCAATCCTGGCTTAATCTAAATCAAAGACTATAGAATAACACAAGAATAACCCAATCCTGGCTTAATCTAAGCCAAAGACAATAGAATAACACAAGAATAACCCAATCCTGGCTTAATCTAAATCAAAGACTATAGAATAACACAAGAATAACCCAATCCTGGCTTAATCTAAGCCAAAGACTATAGAAAAACACAAGAATAACCCAATCCTGGCTTAATCTAAGCCAAAGACTATAGAAAATCACAAGACGCGTCTCTCCACATTGTTTTGTTTTGGCGTATTGTTTTGAATAAGGAAAAGTGCAACGCTTAACGCTGTTTTCGGTCATGATTAGAACGTTTAGAAACAAAATTAATGAGACAGTTGTTTTCAGATTTCATTGGTGATTTTTAAATATGGAATTTAATCGCAAGCTTGGCAAACAGTTTCGGAGAATTTGAAGTTTCCCCATTCAAAAAAGATAGGATCTGCACTTGCATGGCCGAGAGGCGTTTCAAAGATGGCCGCCGAGTGAAATGACTCGTCTTAAAGAGAGCCCTGTCTGTGAAACCGGGCTATTATTACTTATTATTTAAGTACTTGTATTACAAGAAAATCTTAAAATATATATATTTTTATAAACTAATTAATTAATACGAAAAAAAAAGCGGATCAAGAATGGTTTTGGAATCGGATCGTGAGGTGCCTAAAGATTCCCACTCCTCCCACCAAACAGTCTCTTACCTCTCCAGTTCTGTGTTTCCAGCACGTTGGTGAGTTTGCTGGGCGAGGCGTTGTGGACCAGCTCATTGGCACAATCCAGGAATCCGTGCTCACAAGCCACATGGAGAGCGGTGTTTCCTTCTTGGTCCTGGAGCTCCAGTGAGACCCTCTTTTCCAGCAGACCCTTCACTACCTTGGGCTGGTTCAGGTATGTGGCCAGGTGCAACGGCGTCTATGGACGTCAGAATAGAGTCAGCATCCGACAACGTGGTGTTATGTAGGATTGTCATGGCTAATCCTACTTTCGACAACAAAAACAAAGCCAGTTTGATGTGAAAAATACAACTGATAGTTTTGATACTGGACGATAGTGTTCCATTAAAGCCAAAAGTCATTAAAGGCCCACTGAAGTGCCTTGAAATGCGCAGTATTATTCAATGTGTTGCTGTAATTTCCACTGAAACAGGAAAACAGGGCGGGACATATCGAGCAGCTCCTCCCCTTTTTAAAAATAGCCATTAGGGTTTCGTTTACATCACAGCTCATCCAGAGCTGTTGAACTCAGTAAAGCCGCAGTTTCCTCTGAATCTCAAACCGTTTCTCCGTCCTCATAATCGCCTCCATATCACTTTAACATACAGCAATCTGTGCAGAACAAAACGTGTCTAGTCTGAGTGACTCGATCACATGATCCGCTCTGTGTATCGTGTCTCTGGACCGGAGCGGTGGCAGTTCGAGTGACACTAACATGAAACCAGACTTCATTCGCCCCAATGGAAAACATATTTACACTATCTGAATCATTCCCTAACCCCTATATAGTGCACTATGTGCCATTCACCATGTAGAAAACAGTAAATGTGTGAACAAGTGACCGGAGCTTCAGCGTCTTTTTCAGCGTCTATTTATAATGTAGGGGGCGGAGCTTCAGATTCTAGAAAGCATTTGATTGGACAGGAAATCTGATGAGAAGCTGAAGTGCAGTGATGTCATCAAAATCATTATTCCTTTTTGGCGGAAGTGAGAGACTGTAAAGTTTTGGACGCTTATATCTTCTAAATACGAATTCTGTCATTGTTTTGGAGCACACTAGCTTATAGATAACAGTAAGGCTAACATATTCATACTAAAAGACAAAAAAAAAACGGAATATGTCGGGTTATCTGTAGCATGGGGACCGTTCCCGTGTCTCTCAAATGTATAGATTAGAAACGCAGTTTTTCAGACCTTGATTAGTGTGTCTGTGTGGGTTAGAGCATCGCAGACTGCCATTAACCCTTTTGATTTAATGACAATAAGATTAATTTATTCCAAAAATGAGGGAATGCAAAGGTTTACTCAATCTGGGAGTTACACACTGACTGTGTCAAAAGGAAACATGTGATTTTAGCTGGCGTTTGCTGATGACGTGGCTTTTGGTAAGAGCAAAGCAGCATCAGTATTACTCACAGCTTAAAGTGCTGACTGTCACATTTGTGCAGTTTCCTTTAGACTTCACACCCTAATGTGATTAAACATCCTTCTGACCCAAATCTGGCATCCTCTCATTTAAATCAACTAGCATCAAAGTCAACATAAAAGTGTTTGTAACTCATTTTAATTTAATAATGTGACACATTTCAGACATAATGCAGGGTGCGATTTTTATCCATCGGGTTTCTTTTTAGGCAGAGCAAGTTATTTAAGTTTGATGAAAGATTACACTAAACTTTCTTTTTCTGAATAACATGCACTGGTGAATCATTGATGACAAGCAGCTGTAATTATTTATTTCATATAGTGATGTAAAACTAGCCAAACGAGTCAACAACTAGAGGATTTTGATCGTAAAAGTCAAGATTTTCAGTAAGATCCACAATGTCCAGTGTTCCCACACCTTTAGACCAATGCATTTCCATCATTCATTTCTAACACAGTGTCTATGTACACTAAGTGCAAACAGTCGCCTTGTTGGCAGAGGCTATTTACAGGAAGTTTACACAAATCGAGTTCGAATCTGCCTTTTGCCGAACTCGCTCTACTCCCTTTTCCCGTCACATATCAGATCGGAAAAGGCAGGTATCTTCAATAAAAATGAAGAAAATATTCGAAAAGTGGAAATAAAGTGTCTACCGTGTGTTGAACAATAAAGTGTTTATTTGGTTAGGTGTAGGGAGGGCTTTATTGTCCCAATAAGACGGCATCCATTTAATAATTTGAATAAATATAATCATTTACATGTTATTATTGCATACCGTTTAATGTACAACAACTACTATTTACACTTATTGCAAAGAAAATACTACTATTTTTACATCGTGTAAATAGAATCCTTCGCTATTGTCTCCTAATGTAAATAGCCGCTGCCTATCTAATAAGGATTTCGGATTCAATATTTTAGAGCAGCAACTTGGCAAAACTAGAAACATTGGTTATCCCAATGGTATTTTAATAATTGTTATGGTATTTCCAGGCCATTTTACGGGGTAAGAAAACCCCTTAATGTTTCTTTTTACTTCAAAGCAAGAATATAATCATGTTCTTTCCACAAAATGTCTTGTAATGTATGAGTTATGCATCTGTCCACAGCTTTCCATGTCGAGTTTGTGAGTAATAACCTGAGGTAATTTTACATGTAACATCACACCCTGAATGGTTAAAACGGCTTCTAATGCATCAGAGGGTAATTCATTGATATTTCCAAGTTTCCATGACTGTGAATATTAATCGATTTGTTGACTTGGCCACTAGTAAAATACCAACTTAAAAGTCAATACATAGTTCATTTTGAACTATAACAATCATAAGCAGGGGGTTTCTCCAGAAAGCCCCTCGTCTGTTGTCACTGAATAAACCCCAAATTTCAAAATAACAATTGAAAACGAGGCTGTCAAACGAGTGTAATAAACACCCATCATTCTTTGATACACACTCGGGGAGTTTCCCCTCAAAGGGGAAACAGAAATAAGCAAGCTTATTACAGCATTCATACCCTCAACAGTTTTTCTGTTCCTTCAGGGGCAATTCATGCAACACGAGCAGAATGGATTTCTGTGAAAATCACTCATGTATTCCTTTGAATGCATGAACTTGCATGAGAAACTCGTTATGCAATCGTGTGTGTGCAAATCTTAAAGTGATACCTGATACAAGTTGTTCTGAATATCCATCAGCTCTGGAGGAAACAGATCTATCAGCTGACGCGCGAAGCCTTGCTCTTCATGGATTATGGCCAAATGGAGGATCCTGGAAAAAAAACAAGCAGACACACAAGTTCCTGGTTAAATGCCGGTTAAAAAAAACTGAAGCAGAGCCAACGGTAAAGGGAAGGAACTATCAAGCAAACCGCAGTCTAAAAGCAGCACATTTCACAACGTGTGATGGAAAAAAAAAATAGGTCGAAAGATACTGAGAAATATGTCACACTAAAGTGTCTCGTTGACGGCGGTTCGCAGAGGCTTTCGTCCGTTGCGCAACACTGGAACTTTTGCGCATTATTAAAAGCAGAGATCGCCTTTCTATCGACTGATAAAACCTTTCAGATCTTGCAGTTACAAGAAAGACAGTGCAGCCGATTTAAAACACAGATGAGAAATGTGAAAACACATTCTTAATCTCCAACAAAAGGAAGATTACATTTTGCATGACGACATTTCTCCAAATTTACTATTTCTTTATGCAAAAATACTTAAATATGACCCAAGCATGATTGCATGAAACAGTTCCATTCATTTATTTAATACACAAGGAACCAGCAAATGATGCGTGCAGGGGCATACATTAATACACACTCGTTGTCTTTTCCCCATCCTCTAGCCGGTGTATTTCCTCGCAGGTGTGTACTTTCTCAGCTACTTTCCCCACATGCGATAACCTAGTCTTTACTTTTACAGTAAGCCAGAAGGAAACAGGTAGAAGCAAGTGGTTTCAGCATGTAAATAATGTGAGAACAACTTCGGTGTCATCAATCACATTGTGGTAAAATGATCATGATTCAAATTGTTTCGATGCATGTGAAATGAACAGGTTTAGTTTTACCTACGAATTTTTGTCATCATTTATTTCACCTCAAGACCTCACCTAAGGAGAGAGTTATTACAATGCTTTTTTACCCATTTAATGGGAATAGTGCTCCAAAAAGGCACTATAAAGTATCATAAAAAGAGTCTTCTGATGGCTGACCAAAATGTAATCGCTAAAATCTTCCCCACCGCTGTAGCGATTTAGTGAATAATTATTTAAATGGCAGAAAATATGCAAAAAATGCACCTTTAAGGGTAAAACTGAGGCAGTACCTTTACACGTACCTTTTTTTTACCCCTAAAAGTTTCATACTAGTACCTTGAAGTACATCAATATGCTTTTAGGGGTAAAAAAGGTACCCTTAAAATGTATAATATTTATGAGAGTGTATTGTATGATAAAAAAAAACACTTGGAACTTACTGTAAATTATTCATTTTTGGGGTGAACAACACATTTAAAAGGTTTCTGAGCTTTGTATAATACTGATAAAGACACTACTGTGTCTGTAATATAAAACTGACAGCATGGAAGTGAATCCCTAAAGTGGGACTGCCTGAGGATTTCATGGCCCGTGGCATTACTTTTAGGTATTTAGAAGCATGTTCTTTACTCTTGATGACACTCAGGGAAAAGTTTTTTTTTTTTTTGCCTTGCAACAGCAACAAAAGCAGGCCAAAGGTAAACCATGGCAGCCCACTAGGATTCAAGATGCATCACAATGCAAGATGTTCTTGAAATAGCATCCTGGTTTGTCACTGTCAAAACTCAAAACCAATAAAGAAATGAAAGCAGGGTGACATTAACCATGTTGTGTACTTGCCCACTTGTGCGGTGAGTGTTTGCGTATGTTTTTGCACATATACGTTACAGTTGAACCGCAGTCTGGTGTAAAGGTCACTGCTTGCATAAACATGTTTATGTGACATGTGCTCTTAAATATACAGTGCATTAAAAGCACAAGAATATGGGTTTAAAACAAATGCTTTGCACTTTCCAAAAAGCCGCCATCATAGCGTGTTTTCTGGCCTGACGAGGGGAATTCCACTGCATACTTCTGCTTTCTTCTCATGCGCCATAAACAGCAGATCCAGTTTCTAGACGTCTGTTAACTGATTGTAGTGTTAAAACTGAAAAGCCTGCTACTGTAATCAAAACTTCATCTGTCACATCACGAGAATGTGTCACTCAGCAAACTAAAACATGCTTTAAAATGAATCAACTTAAAAAAATGTCTGTTAGTTTCATGTGCACCAACATTTTTTTTACAGTTTATGACCGTAAAAAACAAGCTTTTTCCAATTAAAATCTATTTGATTGCTCTTGTACTGCAAAAGGAATGAAAGGCAATGTTATCATTCAAACATAATCTTGATTTACCGTTATATGGGCTTTATTAATGAGAGCTCAACATGAAAACACGTACTACGAACTTCAAACTTTCTCTCATCCACAATTAAACTTTTTACACTGAGTGCCAGATTAATAATGACTTCCTATTCTCTCTCTGTATGATCATAACATTTGGTAAGTGATGAGTGAACGCCTTAAATTAAATCCAGGGCATTAAATGTTTGTGAAGGTTTAAAGAAACATCCTGCACACTTTCTGAACTCAATTCACCTCTATGCCATCTATCTATCTATCTATCCACCAGCCTTGCACTTTAAGCTGAAAATAGAGCAATATAAAGATAAACACATAATAAATGAGTTCCAGCCTTGGATACTGATTGGTCAATACTGCAGGATTTAAGTTAAGCAATAGGTTACAAATAGGCCTATATTCTGTAATCACATTGAGATTGATTATAAATCACGAGCATTACTGCTTTTATAAAATGAAAGCATCTTTAAAAAAAAAAGTGAAGTACGCTATTTTCTTAGTTAAAAATCCATTCATTAACCACAATTCTTCCGCTGGAAAAAATAGTCACTGTCATAACAGAACGATGCAATGCAACAAAAAACATTTATCTAATGGGGGCTGCAGTGATTAGATTTTATAGATTAGATTAGATAGATTATAAGCACGTCTGGAACCGAATCAGAACCACGTACACGTTTCAAGTGGTTTCCCCAAATTCAACTGAAAATGCAACTTTTAATGACTTCTGCCGTCTCAAAATTATTCAACCCCTTCATGGTAAGCATGGCGACCCCTATTAGAGATATTTACCGTAGTATGTCCTGCATGACAGGGAAGAATGCCACATAAAAAATCTGCACATTAAAGTTGATGTATAAAAAATGTTTCCCTAAAATTATTACGTAGAATGAGAATCCGTTCAGTAAAAACAATAAATCTTATCGGAGGTGTATTACTCCGCGGCGCGCGTCGTTGTCAACAACACCCTTTAATCGGGATCTTATTGCCTAAAACCACGTTAATTAAACTCACAAACATCCCATATTTACACATCAAAACACATTTGAATTACACGCATTTGAACTTTCAGAAACATATCAATGAAATTTAAACGTACGTGTCTCCATCGTCTGTAACAGTGGTTAGGAAATTCACTTCCTCCTCAGTGTATTCACAGTCAGTCGTGTGTTCACATTTAGAAATGCTGCATTCCTCGATTAAATCCCCCAAACTGTCCACTGTTAACGACGAAGAAGCGTACGCAGAGTCCAGACGCTCTTCTGTGCCGAGTTTATCCTTCTCATCAGAACTGTCCAAACTCCCGTAATCTCTGGAGAGAGATATCGATTCGATTCCGGAGTCAATCCGATAGTCCAATTCAAATTTGCGTTCTTTCTCACCGCCGCTTCGCGACATTTCGAAGCTTCGATGCGTATCTTCAATGTAGCAATGAAATGATGAAACAAAGTAAAATCACCGTGACATTATGACACCAGAGACACTCGCTTTTGTTTCTCATTCCACCACTGGTAACTCCGCTATCCTCCTCAGATACTCCCAGACTTTCCAATGGCTCTTTCACGTGAAGTGTGTTTGTAAAGTTTCAGGTTGAGCTAAACACCAGACAAACTCTGTAAGTTCAAGAAAATGTATGTGATGTGATGAAGCCTACATGGGGAAGTAGGCGGAGTCAATGCGGCTTTCAATCCGTCTACAGTGGGAATTCCCCACAGGGAGTGGCAAAAACCCTTATCATTATCGATCCAATCCAAACACACATGGAATCTCCTGAAAGCCCTCAACTTCAAACCTGTTCTGTATTTTGGGCTTCCAACAACTTCCTTGAACAACCTGTGACTTGATCTGACAGGCGTTATTAAAGTCCCTGAATTGCAACACATCTTTAATTGGACATTTATGGGTTTCCAATATTGCATCTAATAATTTTAACATTTATGTTACTATGCATTGTTTTTTTTTTTACTTGTCTGTCTGTTGTAAGTTTTGGTGGACCAGAAATATGTCCAATTAAACAATAGTATGAAACTATAGTCTTTTGTGTTGGTGTTAGCATGCTTTCCATAGGCCTACTATAGGCTATACTACTAACAACTTGTTCTGGATGTGTAAATTAAGTAAAACAATTAATCACACGTGCACATGAATGCACAGATTTTGTATTTTAAAAATCCACCTATTTAGTTCTATCGTGCTTTATTGTTGAGAGATGTTTCATTAAACAGAACGGACAGTATCAACAATGACCAGCAGGTGGCGCTGTAGTCTTTAAATTCTGTACAGGCGTGATTTATGTTTGAATGGCTCATTTTTACATTTGAAAAGTCAAATAACTCCAGAACGTTTGTCACAGGTCTTTTCATTGTCAAATGAACAGGTCATATGACCTATGGTGGCAACAATGTGAGTTAATGAGTATAACAGCATATATAATGATTGCATATCCACAGAATTTTAGTTTGATCTTTGTTGTCATGGACATTGGCTGCATGAGGAAAAGCACAATATTCCTAAAACATCCTTTGTGCCAAACACTGTTGAATTCCCAATGTTTTGAGATTGATGATCAGTGCAGATGCAAAGATGATTGTATTGCACATTATTTACAGTTAATATTCTTGTGCTTTTGTATGAACAACCTTTCTGTTATGATGTCAGAACCTTAAACATGATGTCAGAAAGATAAAAGAATAGTTTAAGGGGAGGTAATGTGAATAACATTGTTGAACAGAAATTGCAAGACAAAGAATAATTGTGATTTTTCTCAGAAAAAGCATTTAGAACAAACCGATTGTTGTGGGCATATGCTGTCAAATCGATTAATTGCATTACATTTACAGACTTTCAGCTGTTTACAATGGACAAATTCAGACAAAAGTAATTGAAATAGCTCAACACAACAAATGTTTCAAATGGTTTCCCCAAATTCAACTGAAACTGCAACTTTTAATGTCTTCTGCAGTCTCAGAATTATTCAACCCCCTGAACAGAATCCCTCACAACAGCACAAATCCTCAAAACAGGCGTCTCGCTAATCAAGGGCTTCATTAGTTGCACCAGGTGTGCTTGAGCTAGAACACATGAAATATCTGAACTGACTAGGTTTGTTAAATGTGTCACGTTTTACTGCAATGTTGGAAATATGGATAAGTCAAAAGAATGGTCCAAAAAGTTAAAGGGGTCATATAATGCCATTTTTGTACAAGCTAATATGATTCTTTAGGGTCTAAATTAAAAGTTTGTAATATACTTTAATTAAAAATTCTCATTAGTATTGTAAGAAAACACTTATTTTACCTGGTCAAAAACAGCTCTGTTTTCAGCACGCCGTTTCAGTGCATATGCCTTTAAATGACCATGAGCTTTGCTCACCTTGCCTCTCTGTTCTGTGTACACCGTTTGTAACACAATAACACAATAACCATAACGTGTTATTCAGTATAAACGTGGGATTATGAATTATATTGAGAACGTCATACATAGAAAACATGCCGTAATGTACCCTGACTGAGTGTAAACCTTAGACGCATTCATTGTGAAGCGTGCAGCTAGCGATTTGCAAAGATTAATATATTAATATAAAGTTTAATAAAACGTTTCACTCACTTCCGTTCTTCTGGAGGTTCAGCAGGAACACGAATATCTGGTACCGATCCTTTTTAGCAAAGCTTCTTAGCAAATCCAGCTTTATACTGACCCTCGTTTATAAAGCAGTCTGGTGTGTGAAATGATTCGCGCAAACATGAAAGCATTGACGTTGCTCGTGTGGAATATTCCCTTCGAAAACAAAACTCAGCCACTGCGTCTTCAGCGGTTCGGATTCAGGAACATTAAAATGACTGTGTTCGTTATTACACCCAAGAACAGAACACCACAATCGCTTAGACGCCATTCTGCTCATAGACAGTGCTCCGGCACATCAACAATGACCGCGCCGGCCCGGTCCGCGCCGCACAGACTATGATTGACAGCTACCTCATGTGCGAGGGCGGGTCTGTGTTGAAACGCTCCCGTCAATCAACAATCGTGGGAGGGGCGTCCGTTTTATTGACGTCACAAAAACGAACGCCTCGATTTGAGGCAGGGGAAAACATATAAGGAGATTAAAACAAAACCACTGGATGGATTTTTATCATTATATGATGTTTGTGTACAGGCACTGCCAACACACATTTCAGTACAATCAACTTGTAAAAGTGCATGTACCATTATATGACCCCTTTAAGAGAAGATATCATCGCCCTTCACAAACAAGGAACAGGATACAAAAAGATAGCGACGGCACTAAATGTTCCTAGAGACACTGATAGAAATGTAGTTCTAGTTCGGAAGTTGAAAGTTAAAGGAACAGTGGTTACACTACTTGGACGGGGCAGAAAAAGGAAGCTATGAACGACTGCAACCAGATTTCTGAGAAGGCAGGTTTAGAAAACCCTCGAGTGACTGCAAAAGACCTGCAGCAAGACTTGGTGGCAACAGGCACTGAGGTTTCAGTTTGCACAGTAAGGCTCATACTAAAAAGCACACGAAAAGAGCTAAAAAATATATAAATAAACCAGTGCTTTAAGTGGGCCGGTACGTGCCGGTACTCACCGCCACTTCCAGATATAGCTCTTGAGCGTACCGCCACCTCTCCGTGCGCCGAGAACGTGCTTTTAGCGTACCGGTACGCTCATTTGGACATCTGTTTTAATCCTTTGGCTGCGCTGCCGCTTTTCAGAGCGCCCTTCACAATGCACGCTTCCAAAACGATTTATAGCCGTTTTAAAAAAACACATTTATGTGAGCACTGAGCAGGTGTGAATGGAATCGTTTTGATAAATCAGATAGCTATCCGATCTGAGAAAACGCATGAAGTGGCCAGGTGTAAACAGCCCCCAAGTCAGTTCAGATATTTCATGTGTTCTAGCTCAAGCACACCTGGTGCAACTAATGAAGCCCTTGATTAGTGAGACAACGCCTGATTTGCAGATTTGTGCTGATGTTAGGGATGCTGTTCAGGGGGGTGAATCATTTTGAGACTGCAGAAGACATTAAAAGTTGCAGTTTCAGTTGAATTTGGGGAAACCACTTGAAACATTTGTTGTGTTGAGCTATTTCAATTACTTCTGTCTGATTTGTCCATTATATATATATATATATATATCCCAACATGTAAATTGGATAATATTCTACTGAAAAGGTACGAATAAAATGTTTGTTTTTAAACAGAAACTATTAAGTGATTTTTTTTTCATTAGTGGGATAGAGTTTATATAGGAAATGGGAAACCACATGCATAGAGTCAAGGTCACGTACGATTCTCGATTCCTCAGCAGAGACGACTGGGATTGAACAACTCTCTCTCTCACTCTCTCTCTCGCCCCCGTTACCTGGATCTGTGCTGCGCATCCGCGTGGATGCATCTCGCGCCTCATTGTCATTCATTCCGCGTTCATGCGCTTCGCTGCTGCTTCATTTTCCATACGATATCTCGCTGTGGGTCAGATTGGCTTCTTTTATTTCCAACGCACAGCAAATGATGTGGACAGCCAACGATCCCGCAAGTGTTTAGTTCTTCTCAGACTCTGAGGACACAAGAGTGCGCGTGCTGTGTGTTGCTGATCTCGTGGCCAGGATGATTCCTCGCTGAGGATGCACTATGATGGATGTTCATGTTCCAGTATCTTCATCTTCTTCTTCTTCTTCTTCATCATGTCTCCAGCAGCTCCGGTCACTGACAGCAGTGCTTCTGATGTCCTGCACGAGCACGAGCACACGGACGCGCCGCGGGAACTGGTGAGTTTCATCCGCTGAGGGAAACCTTTGTTACAAACCGCGACAGAACAGAGAATTAATAGTATGTTTATTCTGTATGTTTAACAACATGCAATATAGAGAAGCTATTGAGACAAACATGATGTGTGTGTGTGTGTGTGTGTGTGCATGTGAGATACACAAAGACTCATATCCCTACTGTAGGCTACTGTAATAATAGACCGCAAAAAAATAATAACTCATATATAATGGTCATATTTCACCACACAATCAAATTAATAAAATACATTATATTATCATTTATTTTTCTTAAAATTTAGCATTTCTTAGCATTTATATATAAACCTGACAAGCACTGTTCATTTGATTTGTATCTTTGCTATATTGTATTTTTTGTGTTTTTACTTGCAATTTGATTATTATTTTATTACTGACTCGACTGTTTGCTTATCTTTAATAATGTTTTAAATGTATATTAGTTAGGCTAGTAGTTTTAGCTGTGGTATAGAAATTGGCATAGAGAATTGTGGGTTTTAACTGGTAATATTTTGGTGCAATTACTGCCTGTTTTTGCCACAACAACAAAAAAGTCACAGGCCATTGGTAGGTGTGGCAAAAATATATATGGAGTAATACATATAGTATGCTTGATTATGAAAATAACATAAATAAAATTCCTTAAAAATGTATTTCAAAATAATTGTATTGAAAAATATGATTTTATAGATTTATACACACACATACACATTAATCGTATTGCATGTATTAGCTTCTCTATCTTGCATGTTGTGAAACATACAGAATAAAGATACTATTAAATATGATTGTATGCATTTATTTAAATAAAAATATATATATATATATTTTTAATTTTCTACATTTTGGGGGTGAATATGACCTGCATGTTTTTATGAGATTCACCCAATTACTATTAAGTAACATTTAAGTTGTTTGTAATGATTGATCATATATTTTCATAATGACTTGGCTGCAAAAAGTGGGACCTGAATGTGTTTCACAGTAGTGCCACAATAATGTCTTACTGTGTATTTTCAAATTCAGACAACAGAATAAAAAGATTATACTCTTTATTAATACAATGACGTTGAGGAGCATGTTAAGGGCCGTCCTGACTGCAACTAAACCCCAGAAAGTCATTGTCCGTTATGTCACGTTACTAAAATGACCAACTCAAGAGCACTATAATAGTCTGAATGAAAGTGGGACACCTCGCTCACACATCCCAAAATATACAGGACGATCCCAGCAGAGAATCCTCACTATATCTTGCCTGAAAGAGCCTCAGGGTTTGGGCTTGAGCACATTACAGAGGCTTTGTTTCACTGCTGAAGTGATTCGGCCCCAGTGCTTGATCTGATTCAGTTGTAAAGACAGAGCGTTAGGAGTCTCATGCTGAACACATCATTGGCTGCTGATTAAAGATGGTGATTAACTATTGTGTTCAGTATTTCCTCAGAAGTGCTTCCCCTTTGGGTCGATGAAGCTCTTTATTCAGCAATTACGCTCCTACAAATGATGTGCATGAACACTTGCACTCAAAGAAAAGTGATTTTAACTATAACCTGTTTACAAAATTATATTATATTCAAAGACCCAATTAGCTCGACTTATGAAGGTCAATGAGGTTTCTGAACTAGTTGAACCACATGTTTGGGCATTAACCACCACACACACATCAGTTAGTGTCAGATTAACCCAGTGGTGTTATTTTAATATCACTGATATACTAATATGTTTGTTAATATTTTTAATTATAGGTCATGTTATATTTTCTGTTTTCATTGTCATTTTGAGTTTTAGTAATTTTGTTGTTTCTGTAATTTGTATTAGTTTTTCCAAATATCTATTTTTAATTTAATTTTAGTAATTAAACTAAATGAAAATGAGAAATTAAATTAAACTTGAAAAATTAAACTAAAAAAAACAAACAATTTTGTTCATGATGATAACCCCGGTAAGGGTGTATTTTGGTTTATTCCAACATGCAAAATCATTTAAATTCATAATTACTTCAAGTGAATGCATCTTGATTATTTTTCGCAATGTATACAACATTTAATGCCATGACTTTCACAGCAAATTGTTAAAGTGTTAAATCCACACTCATAGTGTGGAAATGAACTCCTTTTCTGTTTATATGGCCCACACTAAATCGAGTTAAACTTACACTTTAAGTAGTGTTACTTTTTTTTTTACACTTGATAAAGCACTGTTAGTGTTCACATATTCAAATTATTTCACATATATGAATTTAAGACTTTCTGCTCTGGTTTAAGTCTGTTTTAAGGCCTTGAGGGCAAATTAAGACTTTTTAAGACTCGCAGAAACCCTGGAAAATAAATACATGTATGCCACATTTGAGCAGCATTAAACATGGAGATGCAGCTTCTGTTCCACCTTTGCAGTGTAAAAATATCTGCTTCGATCATTTTTTTGGTAACAGCGTATACTGTATTATCTAAGTTTTCTGATTATTTGAATTAATTGATTAAATTAATTGATTGTATTTGACATGAAAAAGAACACAGAAAGATTGAATATGGTAATTATAAAAATTATCCTTATAAAAAATGCACCTGGAAATCAATGTATGATTGTTTAGATATTCCATCATGAAGTACAGAAAGCTAAATACATAATCAAAATTGTGTCATTATTTTCTCAGGAACACACTGACATAAAAAACTAGTGTGTTTGCTACAATATCTATAAATAAAGGCTTTAGATGACATATATTGCAGTCAAACGTCTATTATAAATGTAAAAAGCCTCATATCCGTTGTGTGCCCACTAATGTCAAACTCAAACCTACGCCCTTTGGTTAACAACATCGTGTTTCATAAACCAATCTTTTTTCTGCAGAAGGTCCTCATACAACCTCAATTTCATTGGTCCCTCAGTGACTTCATGTTATTGATCAAATTTCTGACATACTTGAAAGAATGTGAGGAAAGTCAAATGCTAAAAAACTAATTGCATTGTATATTAATGGCTGAGAAATACTTCATAAGGGCTACTCGTCATGAGTGCTCTCGTTCCCGCTGAGAGCTCCAGCAGTGCGGGGCTCCAGGGGCCGGGCTAAAAGGTAGAGCGGATAATTATGGAGGAACGTTATCAATTATTTAATGCCTTCTGCCATGTTAAGGGCATAAGACAGGCATGCAATCTCACACTCAAGAAAAACATAAGAAATATGAAGCAAACTTATTTTAAATACATGCAACAAGCACAAAAAAAAAGCCAACTGCTGGCCTGCTACTTCCAGCACCTGAAGTCAACTAAATCAGGCAATGTGATGAAACAGAAGTTGCGATACCCATATTGTGACGTATAACAAAGTGAAACGCTTTCTGGAACAAGAATAAATGTGGGCGGGGCTTGATTTTTTCCGTTGGGAATTGATTGGATGGTGGTGGTTTGCTATTGGCTGATCTCTTTTTTTCCTTCATCCTGATTTCTTCGAGGCGAGGGTCTATGGGCGGGTGAATGAATGTTTTTTTCAGATCTTTCAATCTAATGGACAAAATAAGCTCGCACAATTTACATATGAACACGACAGAACAATATATTCGGCGATCATCAGCTTTAGTTTCTGCACTGACAGCCGCAAGACCATCCGAACGCTGCCAGTGTGTGTTAGACATCAGGAATGGATAGAGACATTGTGTTTGGTACGTTTTTCCTCTTCAAACCAAACTTGAGTCTCCAGTCGACAGAGTTTAAATCCCGTCTGTCTAGAGCTCTTCCCATAATGTTCACGCGTTAGTTCAGTAAGAGGAGAGTTGTTGTCTTTTGTGGCTGTTTGAACACATTCGACCACATGAGCGTTTACACTACGAAAGCAATCCGTTCTAATGCGTTTTCAACCACACAAACCGTTTTAGACCCCGTTTACACCTGTATTTACACCCAAGTTTGGTTTGAAGACGAAAAACGTACCAAACACAATGTTCTCTCTCCATTCCTGATGACTAACACACACTCACAGCGTTCAGCGTGATCTTGCGGCTGTCAGAGCAGAAACTAAAGCTGATGCTCTCTGTGTGTTTTCTCCAGTCGTGTTCATATGTAAATTGTGCGAGCTTATTTTGTCCATTAGATCAAAAGATCTGAAAAAGTCCATACATTCACCCGCCCATAGACCCTCGCCTCGAAGAAATCAGGATGAAAGTGAAAAAAAAAAAAACGGATTAAAACACCTGGTGTAAACGGGAATGTCTCCCCCTCGTCTACTTGTGATCCGATCGACCGAAACACATTTTAATATCAGGTGTAAACAAGGCCTTAGAGTGTCCATCACATTTATTTACAGTACAACACATGCTTTCTTGAATTTTCTCTATGGGGGGAAAAGTGCCACAGATCTATTTCGCACTTCTCCAGGGCATTTTTTCACCTCTCCTTTTCTATCGTTTGTATCTTTACAGCAACGACCCTTGAAGCAGTCCCTGAGCAAGTGCCTGTGTCGCGACTCACACTGGAAATGCCTTCTTCTGTCGCTGCTAATGTACAGCTGCGTGATCGCGATGACCTGGTGCCAGGTCACGAAGGTCACGCGCCTCTCCTTCGACAGCGCCTTCAAGGGCAAGTCCATGATGTACCACGACAGTCCCTGTTCAAACGGCTACATCTACATCCCAGTGGCTTTCCTCGTCATGCTCTACGTGGTTTACCTGGTCGAATGTTGGCATTGTAACTCACGCAACGAACTTCAGTTTAAAGTAGACCTGGAGAGCATCGCCGAGCGCGTGCATCGCATGCAACAAGCCACGCCTTGCATCTGGTGGAAGGCTATTAGCTATCACTACGTACGCCGGACGAGACAAGTAACTCGCTACCGCAACGGGGACGCTTACACGACCACGCAGGTTTACCACGAGCGCGTGAACACACACGTCGCCGAAGCCGAGTTTGATTACGGGAACTGCGGGGTTAAAGACATTTCCAAGCACTTAACAGGCCTAGACAGCTTTCCGGTGACCAGGCTACGCTTCACCAAGTGCTTTAGTTTCGCTAACGTCGAGTCCGAGAACTCCTATCTGACGCAGAGAGCGCGTTTCTTCACCGAAAACGAAGGACTTGACGATTACATGGAAGCTCGTGAAGGAATGCACCTCAAAAATGTCGAGTTTAAGGAATACGTGCTTGCATGTGCCGATCCGGATCGCTTGCCTTGGTACGTGTCGCAGTTTAGCTTCTGGTTGGCGGCGACGCTGACTTTATCCTGGCCGTTGCGCGTCCTAACGGAGTATCGGACGGCGTACCTTCATTATCACGTGGAGAAGCTTTTTGGGTTTGACTATGTCGCCGTTACGCCGCTGGACGAGAGGCCGTTTTGCCGCCGCATCCCTCGGGTAAACACCATCGACAGCACAGAGCTTGAGTGGCACATTCGCTCCAACCAACAACTCGTTCCCAGTTACTCGGAAGCCGTGCTAATGGATCTGGCACAGCAGTCCAGCTGTAACACGTTCTCGTCTCGTGGGATCGGCGCGGCCGGTGGAAGTGGCTTCGGTGGATATCGGCAAAACTGCGAACGCTGTCATCGGTCCATCAGCAGCTCGTCGATATTCTCGCGTAGCGCATTGAGCATCTGCAACACTAGCAGCCCGCGATTACCCTTCAGTGGCAGCCGGTTCTCGCTGGGACGTTTGTACGGCTCACGTCGTAGCTGCCTTTGGAGAAGTCACAGTAGTAGCTTAAACGACCCCGGCTGCCCGACGGAAAGCACGCGATGTTTGGCCGGTCAGTCAGCCAATGAGGAGAGCCCACCTTCTCCACCGGCCTATCAGGACGCGCTGTATTTCCCCGTACTGATTATCCACCGTAACGAGGGCTGCCTCGGTCATGACCGCCATTCATTGCACCGTAACGGATCCTGTGTGGAGACTTCGTTATAGCGTTTGCTAAAGGACGAAAACGCAAACGTGGTGTTGCTAGAAAATTTATTTGCGAATTGATGATTCATGATTTGTGGAACATACTGGCACTGAAACGGCTATGCCCAATGAGAGAATGCTTAATTTTCCTCCCAAATGTACAATAGCACAAATGTACAATAACATTTACATTGACAAACGAAAAATTGTTCACATTAAAAACACATTAAGAAAGTAGGCTACATTGGGTTTCATTTGAGTTCATGTTGACTTTAAATGAAAATTGCAAATGGAATGGAACTTTTTTTCTCTCGCTTTGGTGATTCAGAAATGTCAGTTTCAGTGGTTATGCTAAAAAAAAATGACTTTCCCCCCTTATGATAGCACAGAAATAACTTACACAAACACTGAATGGGACATAGGCCTAATTACATTTCTTCATAACAAATGCGGTCTGACTTTTATTAGGATGGTAAAGGAATAGTTCACCGAAAAATTAAAATTATCCCATAATTTATGTCTGGTCATACGACCGTTACCGGAAACAAGAGATTATAGTCTATAAAGTTATAAATATTAATATTTTTCATAGAAAAACACATTGCTTCGCTTCAGAAGGCCTTTATTAACCCCCTGGAGTCGTATTGATTACTTTTATGATGCATGGATGTGCTTTTTTGGGCTTCAAAAACTCGGGCTCTATTCAATGCCATTACAAAGCTGGGAAGAGCCAGGATATTTCATAATATAACTCTGATTGTGTTGAAAGAATAAAGTCATCAGTAAATCATGGGATAATTTAGATTTTTTGGGTGAACTATCCCTTTAACACACTTATTCAGCTTCTTAAACATCTGCCAAACTACTTCTCACATTGCATTTGAAGTCAACATGAAATGGCATTCACAACTTTTTAAAGGCATAGTTCACTTTGAAATTATTTTTTGGTATGTTTTAGCTTACCTCAAGGGCATCCAAGATGTAGGTGTCTTTGTTTCCGCAGTAGTTTCAATTTTGATATTTTTAGGTCAAACCGTTCTTGTCTGTCAGTCGCAGGTCTATGGTCACCACCTCAAAGAGCATGCACAGAGAAGTCCAAATTAAACATGATTTAATGACTCGTAAATGTAAGTACACATTGATGGCCTAAGACACGAAACGAGCAGTTTGTGTGAGAAAACTAACAGTATTTATATCGTTTTTACCTCTTGTAAACACAGCCACGTCCAAGTGATCTGAGGGCGCGGGCGCTTCGGTCTGTGCAAGCGCCGGAAGTGATCTCTCGCGCGTGTACGTCACTCATTGTTTACACAGAGATTTCGGAAGTGTTACCTTTCACTGTGAAGATCTAAACATATTTAGATATACAGGAAATCGCAATGGAAGACAATTTCGATATATCAACAGACAACGTTGAATTTTACACGTACTCGCGCGAGAGATCACTTCCGGCGCTTGCGCAGACCGAAGCGCCCGCGCCCGCGCCCTCAGATCACTTGGACGTGGCTGTGTTTACAAGAGGTAAAAACGATATAAATACTGGTCGTTTTCTCACACAAACCGCTCGTTTCGTGTCTTAGGCCATCAATGTGTACTTACATTTACAAGTCATTAAATCATGTTTAATTTGGACTTCTCTGTGCATGCTCTTTGAGGTGGTGACCATAGACCTGCATTATATGACTGACAGACAAGAACGGTTTGACCTAAAAATATCAAAATTGAAACTACTGTGGAAACAAAGACACCTACATCTTGGATGCCCTTGAGGTAAGCTAAAACATACCAAAAATTCATTTCAAAGTGAACTATCCCTTTAAGTACAACAAAATATTTAAAGAGAGAAAAAAATGAGAAATGTAAAATGATCATTGTAAAAATGTAAAACTTGATCAGACCATGAAATGGATGTTAAGGGTTGAAAAATAAGATGAAATTTAAACGTCATCCCCAAAAAAATTCTTTGCAATAACATGAATTGACAAATCATTGACATCAAAAACACATTAAAAAAGTTAATGTAAATTAACATTTTCTATATTGAATAAAAAACAGCTTCCCATACTTTGGTCATTCAATCAGAATGCAACAAAACATTTTTACGGTTTTGCAATGTATATATATAGATCAACAGCTTTGAAATGAAGTGTTTCTAAATAAATAAAAATCATTATTAACATAAAATCACTTTTATTAAAAGTTAAAAAGGATGATACAGAACATAAACCTGTTTCTTTTCTGATCTATTTATGGCAACAGTGTCGGTGCTTTGAATAATTTAATACATGCAGCCTGAAGGACATGAGAACCTCAAACAAAATACATAATCTTTGAAATGTCCTGCTAGATAATTAATAAACATTGTCTTATACATGTAAGATAATATTTAATATATAAGGTAGGATCAACTAAAGCATTATTTATTTATTTTTGTCACATTTTCTACCTCTTTTTATATGAAATATAAGTGCCTCAGACTGTATTATTTAAGTGTTTATGTTTAATTATTTAAAAGCTTATAGCTGTTGACATTGCATTTATATAATTAAATTTCCCAAGTTACTGTGAAAAGAAAATATGTCGTAATCTTTTTGAGCAGTGAGATGGGTTTCTCAGAAAAGCAAATCTAAAAATAAGCCCCACACACAAATAATGTTCAAAATGAATCTTAAAATTAGAAATATAAATATAGATGTTCATGTTCTGTCAAATCTTGAAACTATCACTAAAACGGCAAAGTCGAGGGCAAATATTTGCTGCAGAAAATAGATATGTCTTACTTGGAAAACTTTTTTCACTTACTGTACATCAGAACCAAAAATGATCCTTTGTTTTCAGAGAATCAGAACTCATTTGTATAAAGCATTGGCAAAATAATCTATAAAAGCCCAACCTAACTGCATAATATATGACAGTATAGAGTTAACCTCTGCATGACCTCTGACCTCTGACCCTCCTGTAAATATCAGAGAAGGTGACAGATAGTGAAGCCCAGAACAGGCTCAAGATCACAATCTTTGTGTTTACAAATTTTAATAAGTTTAATAAGAATCATTACAAGCTTCCTTGAGGCCGGTTTAAAATTCACAAAGATGTATTTGTTTCTATTGTTTTTATTATTATTATTAATTTTCAATATTTTCATCATTATGATATTCGATTATGTCTGGGTCATATTTCAACCAAAATTAAAAGGAAAATATTTTACATAATTAAACCACTTTTTCATCACAATTAGGCACATTTTCCTTTCAAATGGTCATTACTATATTTGGGAAATAATAATAATTATCTCAAAAAATACAACACAAAAATCAGAATACATTTTCTTTATGCAAAATAAATTTAAATATTTTCTTATTTTATTCTTTTAATTTTAGGGCAAACAAAATGATCCAGACATGCACTACAGGTCAAAAGTTTGGAATAATTAAAAAAAGAAGTTTCTCATGCTCACCAAAGCTGCATTTATTTGATTAAAAATACTGTAAAAACAGTAATATTGTGAATAATTATTACAAATTAAAATAACAATTTTCTAAGTAGATATATATATATTTAAATGTAATTTATTCCTGTGGTCAAAGCTGAATTTTAAGCATCATTACTCCAGTCTTCAGTGTCACATGATCCTTTAGAAATCATTCTAATTTGATGATTTTCTGCTTAATCATTATTAATTATTATTGGTGATCAATTATTAATTTACACTTACATTTAATCTTTTAGCAGACGCATTTATCCAAAGCGACTTACAAATGGTGGTTCTTACTGTTATCAATGTTGAACAGGTTTTGTTTCTTTAATATTTTTGTGGAAATAATGATAATTCTTTTTGGACTCTCTGATGCACAGAAAATTCAATTCCTCAATTCTTCTTAATTTCAATTTTCAATTGAATTTCAATTAAATTAAATTCTTAAATTCAAGACATAATACATGTCTGTGCTTTCACTTCTGATCAATTTTATGCATCCTTGCTGAATAAAAATATTATTGTTATTATTTTACATTTTTTAATCTTACTTGATACTAATACCCATTACGGTTTCCACAAAAATATGAAGCAGCACAACTGTTTTCAACATTGATAATAATCAGAAATGTTTCTTGAGCAGCAGATCATCATATTAGAGTGATTTCTGAATGTAATGATGCTGAAAATTCAGCTTTGATCAAAGGAATAAACTACATTTTACAATATATTCACAGTTCTTCAGTTCTTTTAAGGTGTGATAATATTTAACAATATTACTTTTTTATTTTATAAAAAAAAAAAAATGTTTCTGCAGAAGAGATTTCTTTTTTTCAATAAAAATAAATAAATAAATTCGCAATTATTCCAAACTTTTGACCGGTAGTTTATTCATTGACAGAATTCAAGAGATTCATCCTAATATGTACATTAGAAGACCAAGAGTTTCCAGGTGACCACATTTTGTAACTTTGGAAAGAAAATCTGTTCTATGTCTTGATATATTATAATAGGAAACATTTCGTAAAACAAAAAGAAACTTTATGTGCACAGAAAATGTCACAATTTTCAACAAAAAGGCAATTGTTTATTTGACATGTGTGCATACAGTAGACGTCAATATGACTACGGATGTATTGAATAAGGAGATATTGTGTGTGTGTGTGTGTGTGTGTGTGTCAATAATCAGTTTCACAATGAGAAGGATGCTGAAACAAAATCTAAATGACAGAAAGTGATTATTTCTCCTGAATGTTTTATGACATTGGGTGGAAAGTCTATTTATTAAAAATCCCACTGACCAAATGATACTTTATAATCATGGTTGATTATTACAATTCCCTGCCGTTCTGATGCCATGGACTATGTTTTTTATGCTACTAAAGTATATAATCTCAATAATCAGTGTCATATATCAGTCTGTAAACACTTATGTTGCCTATAAAATGTGTGGCATATCTCAGGTTAGATGCCAAACATGTGTATACAAATTGAATAAAACTCCTGGTCTTTTAGTGAATTTGCATCTGTGCGCGTTATCTTTCATCAAAAATGTAATGAAAGCAATTTCCTATTTGACTAATGTCACCTGGTCTGTGTGGACTAGTAAAAAATGACAACTAATAAGCTATTCATTCACGTCTGGCTCCAGAGACTGATAAAAGATTGGGGTCTATACGATTTTTTATTGTTTTTGAAAGCTCAACAAGGCTATATTTTTTAATCAAAAATACAGTAAAAACAGCAATATTGTGAAATATTATTACAATTTAAAATAACAGTGAATATATATATTAAAGTGTAATTTATTCCTGTGATCAAAGCTGAATTTCCACATGATCCTTCAGAAATCACTCTAATATGATGATTTGATCCCCAAGAAACATTTATTATCGGTTGAAAACAGTTGTGCTACTTTATATTTTTGTGGAAACCGAGACAAAAACAAATGTGTTCTTTGATTAATAGGAAAGTTCAAAAGAACAGGATTACAAATGTCACTTTTGATCAATTTAATGCATCATTGCTGAATAAAAGTATAATTCTTTTTTAAAACTCTCATGGACCACAAACTTTTCACCAATAGTGTCCATAACACCCATTTTTAATCATCGGATCAGATCCCAATGGATAAATTCATTTTGGGACCCAATTTTATTTTTCGTGTTGAATAAGTAAAATGCGTTTAACGTTCACATTAAAGTATAAAGCGGTGCATGATGTCCGACAAATACTTTCACTGTGAGTTTCATATCAAGATCTGTTTGTATAAATAAGCTTGAGGAAAAGGACAGCGTCTTTAAAATACAACTAAGGCCCCATCCACACTACTGCGTTTTAGTTTAGAAACGGATAATTAAAACGAATACGATCTCCGTCCACACCTGCGTTTTAGCTGCGTATTAGAATTGATCTCTGTCAACATTAAAACGACTGAAAACGCGGATCACGTGACCATTCACCAACATTGGGCATGCGCGTGCCGGTGTAAACACAACTTCATTGATAAAATTATCCCACCATGCTCTGGGTTAACCCCAAACCGACGCTCCATGTACGGTCAACGCCGCCGCTGCACACGGGAATTGTCACAGACCGCTCGAATAATAGCTTGACTCCGGCGCATGTAGGCAGTTATAGCGTTGTAAAATGCAGAATTTACTTGTACAACAGTTGCTAGCAAAGATATACGCCATGACTGATGACACCCAATCATAGAGCCGAGCGTGAGCCTCTACTACGTCATAGTTTCTAAAGTCCTCCGTTTTGACCCGTCTACACTAAAACGCCCTCCGGAGATTCAAAACGAAAAACGGATCGGCAGCGTTCCTAAACTTCTCCGTTTTGTGTCTCCGTTTTTGCCGTTTTAGAGTGGACGGGAGGTGCAAACGTAGCAAAAGGTCTCCGTTTTTAAACGAAAACGCAGTAGTGTGGACGCGGCCTCAGTCTCTCTCAGACCTTCAAAAAAATTTGGATTTGGGCACTTTTGCGATGAAGCGGAGTGAAAAAAGCTGACACTCACTGTCAGTGACCTTTGCCACTTAACAAACGGCTTGCTAATCATGAGCTAATTCTCCCCAGTCCACACCAGCGTACAATATGGTTCTGGGATGCGTTTCCCGAAGCCGGTTGCAAGTTCTGTCATCACCAATACAATTCAACTGAACTTGCGACCATAGTTGGATATCGATGCTTTTGGGAAACGCAGCTCTGTTTATTCTGAAACGAAATGCTCGAGCTCTTTAAAGCAGGATGGATTCTGATTGGCTGTCAGTGTTTTTATCGTTCGTCAGCTGGAAAAAAGCTGATTTCGTTCCTCTGTGCCGTTACAGTGGTGTGAACTCTGCCATTCTTTTACATTTAGAACGATTTTTAGAGCTATATCTCTATCATTATCGTTATAGTTATCATCCTTGTTCTTGTTTGTGTATTTCCTTTGAATATTATGTAAAATGTAAATAGTCAAACCAAAAATTATTCAGACACCAGATATCATTTTTTATATATTTTTTACTAGTGGGTGGAGGACACTATAGTTCATTTATGTAAGTGTGGAGAGCAAAATAAAGTAAACTGTGACATATAATACCCAAAAATTCTTCATAAAGTGACTAGTAAAATTTATAAAAGTTTGGGACCAAAAATCATTCCGACACTTTGACCTGATCATGTTTTGCTGAAGTGTTTTTTCTTTAATTGCTAATGTGACCTTTACACCACAGACTGAACAAAATGAAGCAGTGCTTGGTAATCGGTTGACCTAAACTTGTATCATCTAATTGTGTAGTTAAATTTAACAGCTGACAGATATTCAACATAATTCATTTGTGAGAGTCTAACAGAAGGATGGGCAAAACCAGTGAAATATCAACTGATTTGATTACTCTGAGTTCTTGTCATATTTTATTACCATTTTCTAAACTATAGTGATAATGTGAGAAATGTTGAAGGTGTCTGAATAGATTTTTATTAAATACATTTTAATTTCATTGTTTAAGAATAATAGATCTAGTAAGAGTAATTTTGGTCATTTTTTAATTCGTTTTCAGTGTTTTTCAGAGGCCAGTAATGATTCCCTGGCAGGCACAGCATGTATGGCTCAGACTTTGGCATTGGGATCATAGTTGTGATTGTTTTTGCGGGCAGCCTGGACCTGATTGGCGCGTAGAGCCTGAGCGATGCAGTACTCACTGTCCTGACCCACATCGGTCAGCCGAATGTCACACTCCACCAGACTGCTGTTGTGGGACATCCCTTCCTCCAGAAGCTTTCCGCCGTCCTGTAGGAGACACACACACACACACACACACACACACACACACAGGAGATGTGACGTTTTATATGGATTATACACAAATCAGAGACATAACTGTGAGAGAGGGTCATTAAATCCTAGGATTGATTGATATCATTACTTTAAACCAAAGTGAACATGAAATGGCATTTTGCTTCCAAGTAAAACATGTTAAATGAGAAAAATAATGGGTGAGACTTGATTTTATCTATCATAAACGAATGTGACGGTAAAAAGAGCGTTTTAAATGAGTGTAAACGTTAAAAAAGACAACATTTCACCACAACCAATATTAAACAGTGGAGAATTGGCGATTTATTAAGACCTACACCACCGTTCAAACGTTTAAATTAAGTATCTTATGCTCACAATTTATTTGATTAAAAATACAGTAAAAATTATGAAATATTATTAAAATTTACAATAACTGTTTCTATGTGAATATATGTCAAAATGTAAATTATTCCTGTGATCAAAGCTGTATTTTCAGCATCATTACTCCAGTCTTCAGTGTCACATGATCCTTCAGAAATCATTCTAGAATCTAATATGATGATTTGGTGTTTAATTATTATTAATTATTAATTATAATTCAATTATTAATTTACATTTGCATTTTCTAATATGATGATTTGATGCTCAAGAAATGATTATTATTCAGGATTCTTTAATAAAAAGAACAGCATTTATTTGAACATTTATATAAATCTTTTCTAACATTTTAAATTACTTTTGATCAATTTAACGCATTCCTGCTCAATAAAAGTATTAATTTCTTTTAAAAAACAGTATTGTTTGAACAGTATTGTGTAATTTTCACCTTGTGGATGTTAAAATGGGCAGAAATAAATCCTATGTACTGACACTGAAGGAAGTATGCAAGCCATAGCAACACACTACGCGTAAATTACTACGTTTTTGGTATTATTTGTTAAGCTTTGCTGCATAAAATTATTTAATAAATGAGAAAGGCTGCATTACCTACAGGAGCCTAAAATAATGACTAGATACAATATTTTAACAGTAACCACTAACCCACATGGCCTAAGCGACATCAGCTGAAAAAGTCATATCAGAAGCATTTTGATGAAAAAATCATGCATAACAAAGTAAATCATGCATAACATGCACTGATGGTAAATTCACATTAAGACCAGAAGCATGTATTAAGAAAGCAAATTTTGATTTTATGTTGGCTTAATGCTTTTGATGAATTCATGTCTTCTTCTTTTTTAATTATCAGACCATCATAATTCAGTATGACTTTGCATTAGATTTTATGGTTAATGCTGAATATCTCTTTTGTAAATGGCATCGCACTATCCGAAGGCTGAAGTACTCCGATGACGAAGCATATCACATTTTACAGCACAGCTGCAAACTCTACATTTCACAGTAAGATCTCTTGACTCTGAGTGTGCAGACTAATGTTTCGGGTGTGTAGCGCCAGAGCTCTTTCCTGAATGAGAAGCAATTGTTTGAAAAATGATTTGCCTTGAAACGGAGATGGGAGGAGCGGATAAATGCGGGAACCATTTGGACGATCCGTCCCAGGAGAGAGGTAATCCCCATCCCACATGTCTGTGTGTTAGCGCACATCTATCCTGCTGCCATGAATAATTGAACGTGAACGACAGGGCTGTATCGTTTCATATTCATCTCTTTACAGACAATTAAATGCTTTAAAACAGCCTTTGTTTTTCATTGAAAGAAAAAAAAGAGAATATTAGAGAAAGCAAATGTTGCAATATGATGCTGGGGTTTTAGTGGTGGTTTCCAGAATGTTCCTATACTTGTTACAGTACTTTGTTTTCCACTTGTCACTCTATGAGATTTATTTCCACATCCAGGAAAGGTCTTAATAAACTGCAATGATTAATGCAAAATGTGATTTTTGTCTTGTTTTCCAGGACAAATATCTAAACATTCTTAAATCAAGATACAGGTCCTTCTCAAAAAATTAGCACATTGTGATAAAGTTCATTATTTTCCATAATGTAATGATAAAAATTAAACTTTCGTATATTTTAGATTCATTGCACACCAACTGAAATATTTCAGGTCTTTTATTGTTTTAATACTGATGATTTTGGCATACAGCTCATGAAAACCCAAAATTCCTATCTCAAAAAATTAGCATATCATGAAAAGGGTCTCTAAACGAGCTATTAACCTAATCATCTGAATCAACTAATTAACTCTAAACACCTGCAAAAGATTCCTGAGGCTTTTAAAAACTCCTAGCCTGTTTCATTACTCAAAACCGCAATCATGGGTAAGACTGCCGACCTGACTGCTGTCCAGAAGGCCATCATTGACACCCTCAAGCAAGAGGGTAAGACAGAAAGAAATTTTTGAACAAATAGGCTGTTCCCAGAGTGCTGTATCACTAACACCTCAGTTAGAAGTCTGTGGGAAGGAAAAAGTGTGGCAAAAAACGCTGCACAACGAGAAGAGGTGACCGGACCCTGAGGAAGATTGTGGAGAAGGACCGATTCCAGATCTTGGGGGACCTGCGGAAGCAGTGGACTGAGTCTGGAGTAGAAACATCCAGAGCCACCGTGCACAGGCGTGTGCAGGAAATGGGCTACAGGTGCCGCATTCCCCAGGTCAAGCCACTTTTGAACCAGAAACAGCGGCAGAAGCGCCTGACCTGGGCTACAGAGAAGCACTGGACTGTTGCTCAGTTTTGCATGTCATTCGGAAATCAAGGTGCCAGAGTCTGGAGGAAGACTGGGGAGAAGAAAATGCCAAAATGCCTGAAGTCCAGTGTCAAGTACCCACAGTCAGTGATGGTCTGGGGTGCCATGTCAGCTGCTGGTGTTGGTGCACTGTGTTTTATCAAGGGCAGGGTCAATGCAGCTATAGCTATCAGGAGATTTTGGAGCACTTCATGCTTTCATTTTTCAGCACGACCTGGCACCTGCTCACAGTGCCAAAACCACTGGTAAATGGTTTACTGACCATGGTATTACTGTGCTCAATTGGCCTGCCAACTCTCCTGACCTGAACCCCATAGAGAATCTGTGGGATATTGTGAAGAGAAAGTTGAGAGACGCAAGACCCAACACTCTGGATGAGCTTAAGGCCGCTATCGAAGCATCCTGGGCCTCCATAACACCTCAGCAGTGCCACAGGCTGATTGCCTCCATGCCACGCCGCATTGAAGCAGTCATTTCTGCAAAAGGATTCCCGACCAAGTATTGAGTGCATAACTGAACATAATTAATTGAAGGTTGACTTTTTTGTATTAAAAACACTTCTTTTATTGGTCGGATGAAATATGCTAATTTTTGAGATTTTTTGAGGTTTTAATAATAATAATAATAATAATAATAATTCATTACATTTATATAGCGCTTTTTCTGGGACCTCAAAGCGCTTCACATATGGAAGGGGGGAATCTCCTCAACCACCACTACTGTGCAGCATCCACCTGGATGATGCGACGGCAGCCATATTGCGCCAGAACGCCCACCACACACCAGCTTATTGGTGGAGAGGAGACAGAGTGATGAAGCCAATTAGTATATAGGGATGATTAGGAGGCCATGATGGACAGAGGCCAAGGGGCAAATTTGGCCAGGATGCCGGGGTTACACCCCTACTCTTTTTCGAAGGACATCCTGGGATTTTTAATGACCACAGAGAGTCAGGACCTCGGTTTAACGTCTCATCCGAAGGACGGACAGTTTTCATGAGCTGTATGCCAAAATCATCAGTATTAAAACAATAAAAGACCTGAAATATTTCAGTTGGTGTGCAATCAATCTAAAATATATGAAAGTTTAATTTTTATCATTACATTATGGAAAATAATGAACTTTATCACAATATGCTAATTTTTAAAATATTGAGTATTGTTTTCTGAATATTTGATCAAAATTTAGTGAACTTTATGCCAAATATTAGAGAAAATATCTACGAAAATAAAAATAAAATGTTAGGTTAATTTTTTTTTTCTTGTTTTATAATTTTTTTCTTGTTTAATTTTGACGCATTTCTCAGAAAACATCTTGTGTTCTTGTACTGAAAAACGAGACAAAAATACTGAGTATAAGAAAAATCATGTTTTTTATCTTACTTGAAGAATGTTCAGATATTTTACTGTAAAACAAAGATAATACAGAATATAAAATATAGCAAAATTACAGATGCAAAATAACAAAATTATCAAAATGAAGTGGTGCTAAAAATGAGAAAAATATCTGCTTAATGGGGTAAGAAAAAATAAACCTTTAATAAATTTTTTCTTAGCATATTGGCAGGTATTTTTCCTGTTTTAATTTTAATTAGATTTTTTCCCCCTTGTTCTTGTTTAATTGAGCGTCTTGTTTTCTTGTACTAGAAAACAAGACAAAATTACTGAGCAAGAAAATCACGTTTTACAGTGAATTTTGACAGTTTATAAAAATGTATCGTACTTTAAGAATGTTTTGTATTTTTTTGTGGAAAACTAAACTCACTACTCACTTTTTACAGTGTTCTATATTGGTTGAAAAGTTGTAATTTGTCCCTTTTTTAGATAAGAATGTGTTAAATGTCATATTCTCAGGTTTACTCACGACTCCCAGTCTGTTGTTGGACAGGTTTAGGCTCTTGAGGGTCCAGTTCTCCACCAAAGCTTGAGACAGCGCCACGGCTGTGGGCTCTGACATGTTATTTCCCCCCAGGTGAAGGTTCGTTAAAGTCTTGTTCTTGATCAGAGCCTGAGCCAGAGCTTGACCCCCTTCATCCCCGATGTGGTTAAGCCTCAGGTTGAGGGACATCAGCGTGGCGTTTCTGGCCAGAGCATGAGCCAGTACCTGAGTCCCTGAATCTCTTATCTGGTTGTTGCAGACGACCAGCCTCTTCAGCTGACTGCGGTTCAGAAGTTTCCCGATGGCTCGGGCTCCGCGGTCGCTGATTTGATTATGTGAAAAGTCCAGCTCCTGCAGGGACGGGTGATCCAGCAATTGACTCACAAGCATGCAACACTTCTCATCGTCCACCTTACTGCGATGGATCCTGAAGACCTGGTGAGAAAAGTTGGAATTTAACATACAAATGTCAACACAGATGCTCTGACGAATGCCAGGGGCTCTCAAGCAGGACAAAAAAAAAAGCTGGACTATATGACGTTGTGCTATATTTCAAGCCTTCTGGAGTCATATCATGATTTTGTATGAAGACCAGGCATAAATGTAAGATGTATAGAATACTTTTATGATTTTCTTTGTACTTCTAGGGGCTTTACAGGCCCTGGTCACTATATGCTTTCTTTGTATGAAGAAAACAGTGTGAACATTCTGCTAAACATCTCCTTTTGTGTTCCACAGAAAAAACAGAAGGTCATTCAAGATTCAAGATTTAAAGTCCCCCTGTAGTCAATCATTTTATCCCTTAGAACTCATCTTTGATCACCAATATTTTTACAAAAAATCATTTGTAATCGTTTTTTCGTTTTTTCATCGTTTTTCATCGTTTTTCATCGTTTTTTCATGTGTTCCACAGAAAAAACAGAAGGTCATTCAAGATTCAAGATTTAAAGTCCCCCTGTAGTCAATCATTTTATCCCTTAGAACTCATCTTTGATCACCAATATTTTTACATTTTTACATATTTTTTTTTAAATCCTTGGAAAAAATGTGCCATGCCTTAAAATATCTTGAATGTAACTCGACACCCTTGCCTCATTTAGTATACGTGGTTCTATGAATATGCAAACGAGCCCCGCCTCCACTCACTCACTCAGCTCAGAGATCCACTCGTTGACGATCACACGTTGATCTGATTGGTTACAAGGTAGTTTGTGACGTCAGAAACACCAGCGATTTCAAAACGTGTTTTTGAGACTGTCTTTGGTTCACTGCAGTTTTAAGGAGAAAATACTCAGCAATGCTGTCGACTTATGAATTTACACATGGTTTGTCTTAAAGCATATTAAAACATACCTGTCAACACTCCCGTTTTTCCCGGGTTTCTCCCGTTTTTTAGCCTCATCTCTCGGACGGACCCCTCCCGGTTTGTTATTTCTCCCGGGAAACTCCCGTAATTTGCATGGCCCAAACTCCTTTACGAATAATCGGACCAATATGTTTGTCTAATGTTGACCAGTTGCCGGATCTTGTATTAAATGCTTGCATTACAACCCACACACCACCATACACAATTTCAACCCGTTTGTCATCTCAACCTGGCAACCTATACCCCAGTTGCGCAGCCGCGGAAAGCTCAACCCGAAAGCGAGCACCAACCCCATATTTTGCATAGCCTATCAAATGTTTCTGAAAACTGAAAAAACACTAATAATAACAATAACTGAACCTGTAAAGTCTTGCAGGAATTGAGGGCTTTTGCCAGGGATTCACAGTCTCTGAAGGTGAACTCAAACAAATTCCACTCAAAGTTCATGCCGCATCCTTTCACTCCATACACCACGTTGAGCTCTTCCAGGTTCGGCAGTTTGTCGAGCAGAATGCGGAAATCAAAGTGATCAATGGAGGGTCCTTCACTGCCCATATCACTGGCACAATCCGAACGATCGTCCTCGTCAAAACCGGGCGGCTCTTTGATGGGCGGCAGCAGCTGAGAGACATTAAGGCGCTTTACGTAGTTTCGACACAGTGGCACCAGATCCAGGACTGTCTTGGTGTCAGTTGCATCTGGGATGAAGAGTTCAATGATGTTCTCTAGGTGACGCTCGAAGAACATGCGTTTCCAGCTGTTGCCGTATGTGGAGACATCACAGAGACGCCAGCGACCTTCACAGCAGCGCTTCCAGTAGCTCTCATCACTGATGAGGTTTGCGCTGACGGTCAAGGGAAGAGACGCTGGCAGTCGCTGGAGGACATACGCTTTATAGTTGGGCATGAGTTCATCCAGAATGGGGTTCTCTGCAAAATATTAATCCACAGTACAGGCTCATGTGCAAATTGAGAACATCCTTTCATTAATAACATCTGCAAACAATTACAATACATCCTCAAAAAATGGTACAAAAGCTGTCACTGGGGCAGTGCCCTTTCAAAAGATACATACAGTCAAACCAAAATCTATTCAGACACCTTCAACATTTCTCACATTATCACAGTTTGTTCACTATAGTTCAGAAAATGGTAATAAAATATGACAAGAACTCAAGAGTTAACGTTATCGAATCAAATCCATCCTTCTGTTAGACTGTTTCACAAACGAATTAGGTTTTTGGGTATTATATGTCAAAGTTTACTTTATTTTGCTATCCTCACTACTTTCATAAATGAACTAGTGTCCTGCACCCACTAGTAAAAAAAAATCAAAAATTATATCTGGTGTCTGAATCATTTTTGGTTTGACTGTGCCTTATTTACCCATAAAGGGACATATTAGTCCCTAAATGGTACATATTAGTAGCTTCTGAAAGGATACTGCCAAAGTGACAACTTTTCTTTTTTTTTGAGAGTGTATAAGAAGCTAATTCTTAGGGTGTGTTTCAGCTTTGATCACAGGAATAAATTACATTTTACAACATTCACATAGAAAAAAAGCTGTTTTAAATTGTAATCATATTTCACAATATTACTGGGTTTTTTTTGTATTTTTAATCAAATAAATGCAGCCTTGGTGATCAAAAGAGACTACTTTCAAAAACATTAAAAATCTAACCGATCCAAAACTTTTGACTGGTAACGTTAGTGTATTTATATGAAGCTAATTCTTAGTGTGTGTTTAACTTACACTATTCTTGGTTCTTTTATATAGAGTGAATATGAAGCTTATGGTAGTGGTTATATGAATGAATAAACTAAATGATAGGCTACATTTGTATTGTTTACCTTCAAAGTGTTTTATAATATGCTGTAGGCCGAGTGTTGTTAGTGAAGGAACCAGTGCCAGCGACCAGTCCGGATCCTCCGCGATCACGCTGCGCATTTTACGCCCGTCAGCGACCCCGTTCCCCGGGCTCATTCCCCTGGGTCTCCGTGAAGACTGACTCTGAGACATACCGCTAAAACTGACAGAAAACAACTCCTTAAACAATCAGAGACATTAAATATGACTCATATCATAAATATAAAATATAATATTGCTGGAGAGAGGTCAACAACTTTTCTTGATGGACGCAATTGAGTATTTACTAAGCGAGCTTTCCCGTCAAAATAGTCGATAATAATGAATAAAATAACGAATTTGAATAGAATATACATTAAATTAATTCATTAATTAGTTCAACACTTCAAAATGTTGACGACTTACTTTCAGTTCCTGTGTAACGTTTGATGTTACCATGGTAGCAGAGACGTGCTCGCGCCCTTCAGTACGTCACTTGCCTCTGATCACGCGCCTATATGATGTGTGAAACAAACAGCCTCACACATGATTAAAATAAACCATTATCCACACATTCAGCACACTATTTAAAGTAAAACAGAAGAAGACAGAAGAAAAATGAAAGAATGTAGAGCGAGGGCTAAAGGCAAAATAAGGAGATCGCACAGATTGCAATGTGATGATTCACATAAGTTAATTAATTTCTACATCACACAATAAATAACATTTCAAATGTGTTTTGCAGTTCACACAAGCCCATGAATTCACTTCAAAGACGTGCAAATCACTGTGAATAAGGGCATCACCTCCTGCATATGTGGGGCAGATCATGCAAATCATAATCATCATCATAATAATAATATATTGTGTACCTATTTATAAAGTGCCTTTCCCAAGCTCAAGGGAGATCATGAGTAAACATGGCATCAGCATGATATATACACACATAGCCTACATTTACAACTCATAAAATCACCAATTATGATCAGTGACTGTAAACAAGTCAAAGAAAGAAAACTGCCTTTATAACAATACATGCATTATGAATGAATGATCATTTCTAAATTTCGCTAATTAAAAATGTGTATGGAAACATCACATTTGAGAGATGATTGACACATCTGAAAATGAGGTCAAACTTCAATGTAACATAGTATCCTGAATCTGATCGCGTGCAACACCTGCACAACATGGGGAAAAGATCATCTCAGGATTATGGATTATGAATAATTTATGAATGAAACAATTTAATTTCATAACACACTTTGCATCAAATGCAATTAATCATCCACCAAATCTGCCTAATGTAGTAAATAGTATAGTGAATCATATTGTGGTGAACCATTATATATAGGCCTATAATGTATATGAACCATCATACATTAGCCGCCCTACAGAAGTAATTGAGATGAATAATGACACTATTGTTTTCTTTTAGAGCTGATTTATAGCTGAATAGAATTGGGGTACGTTTACATGACAATGAAAGGTTTTTCCTTTGCATTTTTCGCATCCAGACGACAATATTGTCAAAACGATCCTCGTTCACAGGGATCCGTGAAAACGCTGTATTATACAGTCCTGGCCAGTTATGGCGATGTCACTTGACATCACTGTTTTTCACAAATACACGTGAAAATTAGGCTTTAAATGCTGCTTTATTTCTGTGTTGTTTTTAATATGCTTTAAGAATACCCATTTGCAAAAAAAGTATTTTCTCCTTAAAACTGCAGTGAACCAAAGACAGTCTCAAAAACACGGTTTGAAATCGCTGGTGTTTCTGACGTCACAAACTACCTTGTAACCAATCAGATAAACAGTGGAGGCGGGGCTCATTTGCATATTCATAGAACCACGTATACTAAATGAGGCAAGGGTGTCGAGTTACATTCAAGTTATTTTAAGGCGTGGAGAATTTCCAAGGAAAAAACTTTTAAATATGTAATTTTGGTGATCAAAGATGAGTTTTAAGGACTAAAATTATTGACTACAGGGGGACATTAAAACCCGTTTCCAGAGGGGCCGTTTACACGACACACCGTTCTCTTTCATAGGTTCACTCAATGCTGCGTAGCTTAAGACGCAGTGGGAACGCCCTCCGGGTGTGCCGATTGTCTGAAGCCCTTATAGAATCACGCCAATTCATTGGCTGATGGCGCAAGCGCCGCCCTGACGCTCCTGCGTCATCATATTATATTAGCGCGCGCGCCATCTGCTCCTCAGATTTCTCTGCCTTCACGAAGCGGCCATCTTAGCCCTTCGATTCGGTTTTTCTGAGCCCGTATATTCGGATTATCACAAGTTTCTTCATCTGCTTCTTCATCTGCACTTCAGCGACTGCGATTAGTGGAACTCTGTTCTCCTTGCGGTGAAGTGCCATGGAGTTTCGTCGTTGCCCGCCGCCATGCGTTCGCTTTATTGCAAACGACGACCCACACAGTAAGTGTGTCAAATGTTTGGGTTTTTCGCATGCGCGCGAGGCTGTTTTAGGGTCGTCTAATTGTAAATTTTGTGACAACCTCCTTCTCAAAACCCTCCGCTCTCGGCTCATGGTTTTTGAGAAGGAGTCATTCGTTCCCCCCCCGTCGCGCTCCCGAGGCTGCCGGGGCCTTGTTGGAATCCGTGACCTGGGGCTCGGATGTAGAGCTCGAGGATATAGAGCACGAGCAGACGGGCTAGGCCCTTTCTCTCCCTCCCTCTCCCGAGCACGCACGCGGTGTTAGGCCAGTCGAGTTTTCTCATGATTATTTATGCCCCAGCCCGAGAGCACGCGAGTCGGTTTCTTTCGGGCTGGAAGATATTATTTACACTACAGCGTCCGACTCCGAGGATTTCGGGCCTGCTATAGCTTCTGACGCTCTCCCGCCTAGCAGCCAGGAAGCGGCCTACTGCGGCCTACACGGAGCTTATCGACGTGCTTTCGCGCGCTACTGAAAAGCTTTCCATCGACTGGCCCGATGAGCCCCGCGAGTCACAATCGTCTAAACTCGACGAAAGATTTTTAAGTGGCCCTAATTCTAGGCCTGAGCGGAGAAAGCTGCCCTTTTTCACCGATCTGCATCACGAGATCTCCAGATCCTGGAAGCAGCCTTTCTCCGCGCGCCTAACGAACGCGGTAGCCGCTGACTTCACCAACCTCGTTGGTTTTGTGGAGCAGGGCTATTCTGCTATTCCAGCGGTCGAGGACACGCTAGCTACACACCTTTCCCCGTCGTCTGCTCCGTCGTGGAAATCTCGCCCCCTCCTTGCCTCTAAACCGTGCAGGACTACTTCCGCCCTTATGCCATGTAGGAAAGTCCTACATGGCAGCTGGTCAGGCAGGCATGGCCCTACACACTATGGGCATCCTCCAAGCCTACCAGGCGGATGTTTTAAAAGAAATGGATGAGGGAACGGGGATCACACCAGAAGCTGTCAAGGAGCTTCGCAAGGCCACGGATCTGGCTGGCCTTAAGGGCCACCAAGCATACTGCGCGCGCTATAGGGCGTTCTATGGCGGGGGCGACTGCTGCAGAGCGCCACCTGTGGCTCAATCTCACGGAAATCCGTGATAAAGAAAAGGTTTTCCTCTCAGACGCCCCAGTGTCTCAATCTGGTCTGTTTGGGGAGGCGGTCAACACTGTGGCTGAAAAATTTCGGGCCGCAAAATCCCAGTCAGCTGCCCTCAGGCAATTCATGCCCAGGAGGGCTAGGGAATCCTCCATCCCCTCCCCATCTCAACCCAGAGAACGTTCTTCTCATAGGCCGGATTTTGCCACTAGGAGAAGTGACTCGGCTCATCCCCCGCCCGCTACGGTCTGGGGAGCCCGTGGTCGCCCGTTCCCCCGCCAGCGGCCCCATAAGCGTCTGGAGCTGAAGCGGTCTAACAAACCCTTCACCCCAGCCTCCTCGAATCGTTCCTGACCCGCGGGTCAGAAAAAGGAGAGCCTCCCTCGATCTACGATGTTGGGACAGACCGCGCAAGCGTTTCTGCCCACCTCTCACTTGCTCTCCTTCTCTAAACCTGTCACCTTCGCCACCCAGCGAGTTTCGAAGTACAGTTACTCCTCAACCTTGTTCAAGCCGTCCGGCGCAGGAGGAAGGAGACGCGTTCAGCTTTCTCCCCTCACACCCGACGCGTTTGATACCAGCCGCTCGCATCGGAGACACTTTAGTTTTCTCTCAGGAGCAGGCAGACCCTTTAGTCTTGGTCAAACAGGCAGTGGTGCCTCCCACTACGTGTCAGGACGTCAAGTGCTTTCCTTCACGCTGGACCGCGTCACCCCACGGGAGTCAGCGCATCACCCTAACTCAGGTATGTCCGCCGCATTGCATCACTCCACCTCCTCTATCTCACTTCTTTCCGGAATGGAGGCGTCTGCCAGGGGTATCGCCCTGGATCCTCCGCACGGTTCGGCTCGGCTACACACTTCAGTTCTGTCGCCCGCCCCCTTTCTTCAACGGGGTCTGTCCAACTGTAGTCAACAGCGCCTCAGAGGCTTCTGTTCTACAATGGGAGATTTCGTCCCTTCTCCTCAAGGGAGCTATAGAAGAGGTTCCTGTTGAAGGTGTCGCGCAGTTGCTTCCGCGCGCTTTCAATTTGGCGGGACCCTCTTTTCCTTCAGAAAGGGGTCAGCATGGGTGCAGTTTTCCGTCGCCAAATGATTACGACGGATGCCTCTCTAACCGGATGGGGTGCGGTTTTCGAGGGCAGGCCAGCATGTGGGGTCTGGACTGGAGAGACTCTCGATTGGCACATAAACAGCTTGGAGCTGAGAGCTGTTTCCCTGGCCCTCCTTCACTTTCTCCCCTTTCTCAAAGGGCATCATGTCATTGTCAGAACAGACAATATGGCGGTGGTGTTCACAGGGGGGTTCACGGTCGTGCACCCTGGACAGGCATGCGCGCCGCCTTCTCCTATGGTCTCAGGACAAATTCCTGTCCCTGAGGGCAGTCCATGTTCAGGGGATCCTGAACATCGCAGCAGATTTGCTGTCGAGGCAGAAACTCAGGTCAGGGGAATGGATGTTAAACCGCCGAACAGTAGCCCTGATCTGGGAAGTGTTCGGAAAGGCAGAAGTGGACCTTTTGCATCTCAGGAGTCATCCCAATGCCCACTTTGGTTCTCCCTGAGCCCCCCAGCGCCACTGGGGATAGATGCATTCGCCCACCCATGGCCGATGCGGAGGCTGTATGCATTCCCGT